TCAGTTTCAAATTAGTTTCAAAATCCAGTTGCAAAATCGCTGTTAAGGGGGAACTGCAATTTCTGTCCGCGCTTTTTGAAAACCAGGAATCTCTGAGATTCCTTCATTTTTTGAATCGCACGTAGGAAAATCCAGTTTCCCCTTAACAGCGATTTTGCAACTGGATTTTGAAACTATTTTGAAACTAATTTGAAACTACAGAAACGAATTTGAAACTTGAAAAACGCGACATTTCTGCTCTTTGGTGCTTGGCCACACCCGAGAAAGAGGAGCTTGAAGCTGCAAAAAGTACATCTCCGACATTCTTCCCAAAGGCCATTCTCCGACAATCTTCCCAAAAGCCATTCCAGCAACAACTCTTGCCAACAAGTCAGTCAATTATCTAGTCCGAGACTGTTGATGGACGAAATCCTGCATCATTTTTATCATGCAGCTCATCCCTTCCAAACCCTGAATCTTAACATTGCCGTCCTTGCAATGCTTCGAAAGTGCATGTGTGTGAATGACCGAAATCCTGCATCACCCATATGCGCACGCAACATTGAAATTCGACGGGTGCGGGGAGCTCGATTACCAACCGTCGCGCACGTGTAACGCAGGGGGTCATGCAAGATTTTGTCCATCCACAGTCTCGGACTAGATAATTGACTGACTTGTTGGCAAGAGTTGTTGCTGGAATGGCTTTTGGGAAGATTGTCGGAGAATGGCCTTTGGGAAGAATGTCGGAGATGTACTTTTTGCAGCTTCAAGCTCTCCTCTTTCTCGGGTGTGGCCAAGCACCAAAGAGCAGAAATGTCGCGTTTTTCAAGTTTCAAATTCGTTTCTGTAGTTTCAAATTAGTTTCAAAATAGTTTCAAAATCCAGTTGCAAAATCGCTGTTAAGGGGAAACTGCATTTTCCTACGTGCGATTCAAAAAATGAAGGAATCTCAGAGATTCCTGGTTTTCAAAAAGCGCGGACAGAAATTGCAGTTCCCCCTTAACAGCGATTTTGCAACTGGATTTTGAAACTAATTTGAAACTGACTGGAAACTAATTTGAAACTATGGAAACAATTTGAAACTTGAAAAATACCACATTCCGGACTTTCTGCCCCATCCTGGCCCCTCACATACGGCCCTCAGTTGACTTTGGTCAGCCGTGACTAGAGACCAGAGTTTCCGAAAACTTGCAAGTCTCCAGACAGTCTCCAGACAGTCTCGGACAAGATAATTGACTGACTTGTTGGCAAGAGTTGTTGCTGGAATGGCTTTTGGGAAGATTGTCGGAGAATGGCCTTTGGGAAGAATGTCGGAGATGTACTTTTTGCAGCTTCAAGCCTAAGCTCTCCTCTTTCTCGGGTGTGGCCAAGCACCAAAGAGCAGAAATGTCGCGTTTTTCAAGTTTCAAATTCGTTTCTGTAGTTTCAAATTAGTTTCAAAATAGTTTCAAAATCCAGTTGCAAAATCGCTGTTAAGGGGAAACTGCATTTTCCTACGTGCGATTCAAAAAATGAAGGAATCTCAGAGATTCCTGGTTTTCAAAAAGCGCGGACAGAAATTGCAGTTCCCCCTTAACAGCGATTTTGCAACTGGATTTTGAAACTAATTTGAAACTGACTGGAAACTAATTTGAAACTATGGAAACAATTTGAAACTTGAAAAATACCACATTCCGGACTTTCTGCCCCATCCTGGCCCCTCACATACGGCCCTCAGTTGACTTTGGTCAGCCGTGACTAGAGACCAGAGTTTCCGAAAACTTGCAAGTCTCCAGACTGTTGATGGACGAAATCCTGCATCATTTTTATCATGCAGCTCATCCCTTCCAAACCCTGAATCTTAACATTGCCGTCCTTGCAATGCTTCGAAAGTGCATGTGTGTGAATGACCGAAATCCTGCATCACCCATATGCGCACGCAACATTGAAATTCGACGGGTGCGGGGAGCTCGATTACCAACCGTCGCGCACGTGTAACGCAGGGGGTCATGCAAGATTTTGTCCATCCACAGTCTCGGACTAGATAATTGACTGACTTGTTGGCAAGAGTTGTTGCTGGAATGGCTTTTGGGAAGATTGTCGGAGAATGGCCTTTGGGAAGAATGTCGGAGATGTACTTTTTGCAGCTTCAAGCTCCTCTTTCTCGGGTGTGGCCAAGCACCAAAGAGCAGAAATGTCGCGTTTTTTCAAGTTTCAAATTCGTTTCTGTAGTTTCAAATTAGTTTCAAAATAGTTTCAAAATCCAGTTGCAAAATCGCTGTTAAGGGGAAACTGGATTTTCCTACGTGCGATTCAAAAAATGAAGGAATCTCAGAGATTCCTGGTTTTCAAAAAGCGCGGACAGAAATTGCAGTTCCCCCTTAACAGCGATTTTGCAACTGGATTTTGAAACTAATTTGAAACTGACTGGAAACTAATTTGAAACTATGGAAACAATTTGAAACTTGAAAAATACCACATTCCGGACTTTCTGCCCCATCCTGGCCCCTCACATACGGCCCTCAGTTGACTTTGGTCAGCCGTGACTAGAGACCAGAGTTTCCGAAAACTTGCAAGTCTCCAGACAGTCTCGGACTAGATAATTGACTGACTTGTTGGCAAGAGTTGTTGCTGGAATGGCTTTTGGGAAGATTGTCGGAGAATGGCCTTTGGGAAGAATGTCGGAGATGTACTTTTTGCAGCTTCAAGCTCCTCTTTCTCGGGTGTGGCCAAGCACCAAAGAGCAGAAATGTCGCGTTTTTCAAGTTTCAAATTCGTTTCTGTAGTTTCAAATTAGTTTCAAAATAGTTTCAAAATCCAGTTGCAAAATCGCTGTTAAGGGGAAACTGGATTTTCCTACGTGCGATTCAAAAAATGAAGGAATCTCAGAGATTCCTGGTTTTCAAAAAGCGCGGACAGAAATTGCAGTTCCCCCTTAACAGCGATTTTGCAACTGGATTTTGAAACTAATTTGAAACTGACTGGAAACTAATTTGAAACTATGGAAACAATTTGAAACTTGAAAAATACCACATTCCGGACTTTCTGCCCCATCCTGGCCCCTCACATACGGCCCTCAGTTGACTTTGGTCAGCCGTGACTAGAGACCAGAGTTTCCGAAAACTTGCAAGTCTCCAGACTGTTGATGGACGAAATCCTGCATCATTTTTATCATGCAGCTCATCCCTTCCAAACCCTGAATCTTAACATTGCCGTCCTTGCAATGCTTCGAAAGTGCATGTGTGTGAATGACCGAAATCCTGCATCACCCATATGCGCACGCAACATTGAAATTCGACGGGTGCGGGGAGCTCGATTACCAACCGTCGCGCACGTGTAACGCAGGGGGTCATGCAAGATTTTGTCCATCCACAGTCTGGAGACTTGCAAGTTTTCGGAAACTCTGGTCTCTAGTCACGGCTGACCAAAGTCAACTGAGGGCCGTATGTGAGGGGCCAGGATGGGGCAGAAAGTCCGGAATGTGGTATTTTTCAAGTTTCAAATTGTTTCCATAGTTTCAAATTAGTTTCCAGTCAGTTTCAAATTAGTTTCAAAATCGCTGTTAAGGGGGAACTGCAATTTCTGTCCGCGCTTTTTGAAAACCAGGAATCTCTGAGATTCCTTCATTTTTTGAATCGCACGTAGGAAAATCCAGTTTCCCCTTAACAGCGATTTTGCAACTGGATTTTGAAACTATTTTGAAACTAATTTGAAACTACAGAAACGAATTTGAAACTTGAAAAACGCGACATTTCTGCTCTTTGGTGCTTGGCCACACCCGAGAAAGAGGAGCTTGAAGCTGCAAAAAGTACATCTCCGACATTCTTCCCAAAGGCCATTCTCCGACAATCTTCCCAAAAGCCATTCCAGCAACAACTCTTGCCAACAAGTCAGTCAATTATCTTGTCCGAGACAGTCTGGAGACTTGCAAGTTTTCGGAAACTCTGGTCTCTAGTCACGGCTGACCAAAGTCAACTGAGGGCCGTATGTGAGGGGCCAGGATGGGGCAGAAAGTCCGGAATGTGGTATTTTTCAAGTTTCAAATTGTTTCCATAGTTTCAAATTAGTTTCCAGTCAGTTTCAAATTAGTTTCAAAATCCAGTTTCAAAATCGCTGTTAAGGGGGAACTGCAATTTCTGTCCGCGCTTTTTGAAAACCAGGAATCTCTGAGATTCCTTCATTTTTTGAATCGCACGTAGGAAAATCCAGTTTCCCCTTAACAGCGATTTTGCAACTGGATTTTGAAACTATTTTGAAACTAATTTGAAACTACAGAAACGAATTTGAAACTTGAGAAACGCGACATTTCTGCTCTTTGGTGCTTGGCCACACCCGAGAAAGAGGAGCTTGAAGCTGCAAAAAGTACATCTCCGACATTCTTCCCAAAGGCCATTCTCCGACAATCTTCCCAAAAGCCATTCCAGCAACAACTCTTGCCAACAAGTCAGTCAATTATCTAGTCCGAGACTGTGGATGGACAAAATCTTGCATGACCCCCTGCGTTACACGTGCGCGACGGTTGGTAATCGAGCTCCCCGCACCCGTCGAATTTCAATGTTGCGTGCGCATATGGGTGATGCAGGATTTCGGTCATTCACACACATGCACTTTCGAAGCATTGCAAGGACGGCAATGTTAAGATTCAGGGTTTGGAAGGGATGAGCTGCATGATAAAAATGATGCAGGATTTCGTCCATCAACAGTATGGCTGGAACAGGCTGGTGAGAGGTTGCCGCCGAGGATGGCGGCGTCGATTGCCGCATGCCGCGTGCTTTCGACCAGCGCTGACTGCACGTACCCGAACAGGCATGCTTCTGGGGGCCCACTCTCTTTCGAGGGTTGGCTCCTGTTGCTTCGGCCTCAGTCAATGTACTGCCGTGCCATGTGCCTGTGCGGCTACGGGCTGCGGGGCTTTTTATTGTCCCACAAGTGGCGCATTTACAAACGACAGATGGATTATAGCCTTGACCCATAGGCTTGACCTATATTGACCTTACGCATTCAGTCTCAAGAAGAAGTGAGGCCCCTGAAAGCTGCCCCAGGCTGCTGGTCCGTGAAGCACGCGGGACAATCAGGCCATCAGGGTGCTCCTTTCAACTGAAAGAACTGCCTACGATGCCCTGAAGTATCAAGCACAACGACTCCAAGTCAGTATTTGCTGTACTTCTAGACTGCGGTACTCGAGTCCGTTCTCTTCCTCTGGGGGAGTTTGGAGTCGGGTAAGTTTTAGATGTGGGGGGCAGCGCTGAACAATTCACGCACGAACCTTGACTTGACAATATCTCCGATGTAGCGCGAGTTCAGCTGCCAGGTCCTTCGTCTCCAGTTCTTTGTAAGTCACGTGGGATGCAACATGATGCAGCGCGTGTCACGCCCACCCTGTAGCATCATTTTGTCCGCTCCCTGCACTGGGAGGAACAAGGGCATCCTCTTCGCCCGCCTGGGGATGTCGCTGTTCTTGGCCTCCTTGCACCCGGGCAGTGGTGGGCATGATAGTGGCACCTCCAAGCTTTGAAGTATCAAGATGTATCAAGTGTGGTAGCGTTTGCTTCATGGGCCCTTAAACCCCCTTCCGACATCGCGAACGGATCTGGTCCAGCTGCCATATCATGAGCCCCAGCATTCGACTCGGGTGAGTTGCTCTCAGGTATGGCTGGTTGTTTTCCGGCAGTGCCGCGCAGGGCGCTCCTGGGCATCGGATTGTGCTCGGTGTCCTCAGCCCTTCGGGTTTAGGGTCGGCGCTTGGCGTTCCACTCTCGTTCTGTAGTGGGCTGGGGTGTCATGGAAACGGCTTGTGGCAAAGAGCTGATTCCATCCTTATCCTTGTTCTGAGCAAAGAGCTGAGGACAACACCCACTCCACGGAAAAGAACTGCGTGCCCAGCAACTTCAGCGCAGCCGGCTGCACCGGCGCCGCCTGGCTGCAGTGGAGTGATTGGCGAAGAGTGCGATCAAGAAGCCGTTCGAGAAAACCCGGCAGGTTTGCTCAAATATCTGGGACGTTACGGGTCCCTGCACATCCTCTTTGGCTCTTTAAGACTTTAAAAGCAAGAAGCTCCAGGGGAACAGAGGAGACTTAAAGAGAGCGCGCGCTCCAAGCCGTCATGCTGAGGACTTCCAGGCACACTTTGGCACGATCGTCTCTTTGGGAATCATGCGGCCTGCCTTTGAAACTTGGGGTGTTTTCACAGGTTTGGGAGTGTCACCGGCTTTCAAAGGCCCACAACCAAATACAGGATCCCCACCCCACCCCCCCCCCCTCTCGTTCTCAAAACAGCAGCTTGACATGAGAATGGGGGGGGGAGGGAGGGGCGGAGAGGGGGAGAAGCCCGAGAAGGGGGAAACCGACCAGTTGGCCTTAAAGTTCTCTGCGCTGAGGGCCATGATGGGAGCCGCCCAGCCGGTTGTGCTGCAGTTTCCGCAGGAGCGGCCCGTCTTCCTGAGAGAGCCTTGGTACTTTTCTGTTGGATGCTTGATGGTTGCTTCGTGGTAGGCTATATGTCGCTGTTTTTTTGCTGCATGGTGTAAGGTGAAACGTGAAATCTGATGAGCGCCGTATACCGCGAAGCAAGAATGCTTGAACAAGGTGGTTTTGTTATCATGAAGGTGGCAGGCAAAGTTAATGTTTTCACAGCACTCAGTTTTTTTCAGCTATGAGTTGGTCTTACTACACATCGGTTCAGAAAACATCTTGGTAATTGAACTGAACCTCTACATACGTATACACATCATTTACATTGTGCATTTTATTCTCAACCTGCCTATTTATTTTGTACTAAGGTCTAAGGCAATTTGATGCGAGTGCTCCTGGCATGATGCCACACCCCTCCACTGCGGCTGCCGCCACTGCAACCACCAGAGGGCTAGCACAAGAAGCAAGTCCGACGAAGCGCAGTCGAAGCTGTTTTGGTCAAGATGAAATTTGTGATCAGCAAGATCTTTGCTGAGACGACGCTGCGATACAGTGTGGTATCCTGGGCTGTGCTGGTGTAAAGGCAGCGCTCAGATCTCAGCAAGTCCTGCTCCACCATGCATGAAAGAAGAAGCATACGCGCAGCATTACGGGTGTATCAGCCCTACGGCCGACACCATTTCACGAGCTCCTGAAGAGGGGCTTGGACCACACACGAAGCGACGCAAAAGTTAAAGGTCGTTTGCTGCAAGAATCGCATGAATGAAAAAGACGCTCAGCCCTAGATTCAAAATCACATTGTATACTCGCTGATACAGACGAAACTATCAGAGAAACACACACAGCCAACATTGCAGGGTCATGTTGCGTACTGTGATATGTCTGTACGCTGTTCAATACTGGTATCAAACCGTGCGCCTCATGTTATTGTGACGAAGTCGTATGGCAGCGCAATCTCCCTTTGTTATGAGCTGATTGCGGATTCTGACGTGGTCAGCCCTGTCCCTCCCAAAGAAAACGTTAAATCTCCGCAAAGACTCGGAGGGACACCTTGTCGCAAAGACGGTGTACGGACGCCTGAAGACTGCACTAAGGAGTATGCCGCACATCAGCCCCTTTGCTGGGAGATGGCAGAGCTCTTGGCTTTTTGTCTTCGCTGAGTATCGCTTCCCTGTACAAGGTTCCGCAAATTCATAGCAGCCTATACGCCCTCACCCTGATGAGCTGGTCATGATGGACCCACAAGCCCGGTCGGAAACGTGCGAGGAACCTGTTTGGTCATGAAAAGTACCGCCCCGCCCCTGCACATGTTGGAGTGTAGGAGCTGCCACGTCACCTGGTGCAGCCAGACGATAAGGATTACTTCAGACCGAACGATGAGATTCAAGCAATGTGCCAGACGTAGGCTGCATGGCAACTTAGGACAACCCTGACGTGGCTTCCCAACCTTCTAGGGGCAGTATCATGGGCCAATGTTCCAACCTTCTAAGGGCAGTTTCATGGGCCAATGTTAAGGGCCCATGAAACTACCTTGGAAACCTTGTTCTCAACTCCCTAAACCTTGCAGCATCGCACAGCAGCACGTTGATGCCTTGCGGATGCGTGGTTCAACATGCTACGCGGGACTCGTTTGTCGTATCCAAAGGGACAATGGGAGGCCCCCACTCAACAGTTGAAAATCCTACTGTAGTCCCCCCGGGCCCCCTTGGACCCCCCTCCTGGGCCCCCGCTTCCCAACCTGCCTGCGGCTTGCACCTCAAATCCACTTCAGAGATTGGAATTCAATGCGATTTCACCCTTTCCACAACAGGCCAGAACAGGCTCAGTAGCTCAGGTATGGTGTCGTGCCTTACTTCATCAGCAAGACTCTCGTCGAGATGCCTGTGGTTATGCTCTCGCAGATCGCAGCTGGGATTTCTGACCCTACACCCTATAAACCCTAAGGGTTTGTTCTGGGAGGCACTCCAAACAGCAAAACTTTGAGCTACTCCTGGGATGAAAAGAGGTTATGAGAACCTCTAATCCACCCTAAACCCTAGACCCCAGTATGACAATGTGGAAACGCGGATTGAGCTCTCGGTTCTGCAAGGCGCCTTGGCCACACCTATGACTGTTGTCCCAAAGCTCAAGTGTATTTTCTCAGCAAGGTCACCTTCATCGTGACATACTGGTGGATGGGTCTCCATGGCAGCGTCCTGCTGCTGGTGCTTGTGTCGTGGTCACTCGGCCAAGTGTTGTGGCTATGGAGCATTCTGCGATATGGAGCATTCTGCATCCCTGAACTGTGCTGTCTCGCAAAGCCGAAGAAACCAGAGAGTTCGAAGTAGGTGAGGCAATCTCGGTTTCAACAGTGACCGTATTTACGTGTGCCGTTACGTGTGATTATAAGTATGAGGGGAAGCAAGACTCGCTTCTCAAAACAGTCTCGATGTCGGTAATCTTGTCTGTGAAGTGCGAGACCCACATTCAGCATAAAACCACAGACCAGCAACAGTCCTTCAGGCCTTCATGCCTTAACAACTACTATACTTGCTTAAGAACCCAGAAAAATGAAACTAATTCTTCCTTGTTAAGGTTCATATGGGGATTTAGACTTTTATCCTTTTGGGGTTCTTAAGCAAACAGTAGGGTTCTTAAGCAAACAGTAGCTTACCAGCCCTATGAAACAAAATCCAGATGTCGGCCGAGAGGATGCTGGGCATCGCCTCCTCCTCACTGGCGCTTCTCGTGGGCTGCGGAGTGTCTTCGGCTCAGTCGCCAGGTCTGAAAAGTGACTGGTTTAGGGTTTAGGGTTTAGGGTTTAGGGTTTAGGGTTTAGGGTTTAGGGTCAGAGTTTCGCGGTTCAACGTCTAGGGAATTCTAGGCTTGTGGACTCAGAGGAAGTTTCGGGGGATGCGGATCAAAAAAAATTATTTAGGATCAAGAAAAATTTGTTTAGGATCAAAAAACAATTTATTTGGGATCAAGAAATATTTTATTCTGTTCTTCCGACGGAGAGAGGGAAGGGGAGGGAGGGAGGGAGAAAAGGAGGGAGGGAGGGAAGGAAGGGCGGAAGGACGGAAGGAAGGAAGGAAGGCAGGAAGGAAGGAAGGAAGGAAGGAAGGAAGGAAGCAAGGAAGCAAGGAAGCAAGGAAGCAAGGAAGCAAGGAAGCAAGGAAGCAAGGAAGCAAGGAAGCAAGGAAGCAAGGACGCAAGGAAGCAAGGAAGCAAGGAAGGAAAGGAAAGGAAAGGACAGGAAAGGATATGTAGGAAAACATAACATAACATCATATGTTTATATATATATATGTACATATTAAAACAAAGTATAAAAAATATTTAGAGTGGCATAGAGTAGAATAGAACACAATATCGTAGAGTATACCTTTGTATCATAAACATATAATAAAATCGAAATAGCAAAGCATATATGTATATATTTACTGCTATTTGATATAGAATTGATAATACACAATACATATTTCTTGTTTGTTTGGCGCCGGGCAAGCTTCTTCCACTCGTATGAATCCCTTCCAAACCCATGATGCGAGCATTGTGTTTGCAAATGGGGGGGGGTCCCCTTCAAACCCCCCGCTGTTTCTTAAAGCCGGGCAAGCTTGCTTCAAAGCATATGAGTATCCTTTCCAAACCAATGATGCGAGCGTTGTGTTTGCAAATGGGGGGGGGGCTGCGCCCCCCCCCCCCAACCCGCCCCCCCGGCTGTTTTCTTAGTCCGGGCAAGCTTGCTTCAAAGCACATGAATCCTTCTGATGCGAGCACTTTTTTGCAAAAAAAACATGAAGACGCACTAAGATACAATGATATACAAGAATATATTACAAAACGATGCAATAATATACAATAATACAGAAAAATGCAACAATATGCAAGTATGTACAAGAATATGCAGCAATATACACGTAAAAAACGAATAACTTACAATAATTTTCAGTAATTGACAATAATATTCAATTCAAAAATAGACAACGATATACAATAATATACAAAATATACAAAAAACACAAAAACAAACAAGAATATACACCCATATATACAATATTTTTCAAAATATATACAAAAGATGTACAGCAAGACATACAACAATATAAAATAGTGTACAAAAGATTACAATAATATACAATAGTAGATATACAATAGTAGACAATAATATACAAGAATATACAATAATATACTATAATACAGAGTAATCTGCAATAATATACAAAGAAAATTCAAGAATATACAATAATATACAGTAACCTACAAAAAAAGAGAACAATATACAATAATTTGAAAAATATACAATAACATTCAATAATATGCAATAATATGCAATATCACACAAAAACATAAGAAAACACAAGACAATACAATAATACTCAACAATATATACAACAACGTACAATAACATGCAAGAATATACAATGTCATACAATATTATACAAGAATTTCCACAATACTATGCCAGAATATACATGCTTCAGAGTATACGCATTTTTGAAACTTCTAATGCCAAGATGCCAGCATTGATTTGCAGCCTCTGCAAACTCAGAAATGCTGCTATTTACAGTATTTCCAGCCTCTGAAATCGCAGAAATGCTGCTATTTTCCGTATTTGCAGCCTCTGGAAACTCAGAAATGCTGCAGTGTACAGTATTTCCAGCCTCTGAAAGCGCAGAACTGCTGCTACAAACAATATCTGCAGCCTCTCTGGAAACTCTGAAATGCGCAAAAATGCTGTGTTTTTTCGGTATTTAGAGCTTGCGAACGGCCAGAACTGCTGCATTTCTGAGCGTTTACAGCCTCCGTTCCGCTTGCAAGAAGCCTTCGAAGCCTTCAGAAGATCCCTTCAGTAAATTGTTTTTTGATCCCAAATAAGTGTTTTCTTGATCCGCCTAGAAATAATTTTTTTGATCCCAAATAATTTTTTTTATGATACCCTACCCCGCTTCGGGGCCATCGGAAAAGTCGAAACGATTCCGGCTTATCTCACGAGGTTCGGGAGCAGGTTCGGACCCATCGCTGTTCAGACTGCTGATGCGATTGATGAGTTGGGATGTTCCCCCTTGTACTTGCAGTCCATAAGAGGGACTACAATAGGGGGTACTATAATCCCACTGCTTATTAAGGGCTGTTATACCGGGAACATCCCGATTGACGAGTAGGAGGTTTCTATTTCGGCTTCCCTTACCTGCATAGACTGCCGTATACATAGTAGGAGTGTTAGGCCCTGCCTGTGAATTGCGGGTGCTGCATGCACACTTGCAGAATTGCTAACAGATGCCTGCTAGTAATACTCCTCCAATTGGGATTTTTGTTCACTCCGGAAGCTCGAGAAGTCTTCGGAGGCTTCGGAACCATTGCCCCGTGCGTGACAGGATTCTTAACTAGGCATCCAGTCCTGCTTGGCGCTGCTGACGGCGTGTGATGGTCGTGTTTTCAGTCATACTCAGAGCAGTTTTCGGCTTTTGTCTGCAGTTGTGTCTCTCGTGAGGCATGGTTTGAGGGTGAAGACGGGGCAAGCGATGGCACCACAACTTTGCCCGTATGCTGATGTCCCGGCGTGGGATCACATACTCCAGAATCATCTCGAATCCCGCAGAATCCCAGAATCCCAGAAAGCCATCTCAGAACCCTGAACCCTAAACCCTAAACCCCAAACCCTAAACCCTAAACCCTAAACCCTAAACCCTAAACCCTAAACCAGCTCAGAGTTTCTCACAGAGGAAAGCCATCCAGCTGGCACCCTTGACGCTGATCCCCCAGATGCTCTTCTCGGGTCTCTTCGTGCCGGTCGCGAAGATTCCGCTGAGCCACTGGTTTAGGGTTTAGGGTTTAGGGTTTAGGGTTCAGGGTGCCAAGAGTTCGCCACCACCCCTCTTAGGGTTTTCGGCCACAGTAGTGACTCGCAGGGTGCGGAGCGAAGCCACAAGAAGCGGGATCTTGTTCCACCCGCCCCCTAAAACCTCGGCTCCCATGGGCTTATAGGGTTTAGGGTTTAACGTTTAGGGTTTAGGGTGTTTAGTTTAGGATGCCTAGGGTGGTGGGGGTGGTGGGGGAGGTGGGGTGGGCTTTTCGGGTTCCCGGGTCACCCAGGCTTGCGCTGGGCGCGCTACCTCTGCCCACTGAAGTACGCCATCAACTTGATGACGATCATCGAGTTTCAGTATGTCAAGGATAGCATTGAGACCTGGCGTTCAAGGATGAGACATCAGGGCTTCGGATGTTGCTCACGTACTTCTTGCATACGCGACGTGGCAAGATAGGTCCCGAGAAGAGGTGGATGAACCTGGCGATCTTGGTGTGCGTTCTCCTGCACAGCCGTCCTTCACCCGCTAAACCCTCAGGCTCGCGCACGCCAGTACTTGGGCGCGTTTGTAAACGTTTCAAGGCTATCTCGCCCCACATGCCTTGAGCGCCAAGGACGACTGCGAGCAGGAGTTCCCACAGGCCCAGTGCATGCAGCAGAGCCTGGGTTGGCATGGCGAGGCTTAAGTTGCTTTCTGGGTGCCAACAGGGGGTTCTTTTATTGGCTTCCGGGGGCGGGGTTATGTGCAAGTGCTGCGTTCCCCCAATTTTTCAACTCGTAGCATGCCATGCCCCTGTTTGGGCAACACATGTCGGACTTTGCCCCATCGGTTGTGGGACGGATGCATATGGTTTTAACGGTCCAGTTCTGCGTAAGGTTGCCCTTTGGGGAATTTGGGGGGTGCCCTTGCATTAAGGCAACCTGGAGACTACCTCCGCCAGCAGCTGGTGCAAACTCAGAGCTCTTCGGCTCAAGCCTTTGAACCGACAGGGCCACGGGGCTCTATTCCGAATTTTGGGGGCCTTGGTCTCAGGCAAGTAGAATATGATTGATTTGCCTTGTCTCAGCTTCTTGTGCTGCGCCGTTTCGACTGCTTCAGAGCACATGGAAGCCTGGAAGACATGGAAGGGGTTTCAGTTGCTCTGCTTGAGACATGCCTTTCAACCTCACGAAGTCCGATGCCAAGCAGATCCCACCCCCAGCTGCCCTGCTTGAATAATCAAATCATGATGACCCTGGAAATATCCTTGAGCACCCAAGCCCAAAAAAACTCAACCTCGAACCGAATCCCTAGAAGTAGAGAGAATCTAGTGTCACTACAAAGGCCTTCAAGGCACCCGCATTGCAGGCGTGCAGTGGGACGACTGGTCGACGTATCTGGGAGCCCTGATCGGACTCTTTGCACCTGGGGCCGCGGAGTATACGGGTCTTAGCACCTGCCTTCGCTTTCGATAGGGTTGGCAAGGTCTGGCAATCTTGCAACTGCGAGATGGTTTCAAGCCCTAAGCCATCTAGGCATGTAGGCCGAGGCCGTGCTGGGCTGCAAGTCCTGCAAACTGGGGCCGATTGCACAGGTCCTTTTCAGGCTCATTGCGACGATCTTGCTTTGGCGCCCCCTGGCCGGGATTCGGATGAAGTGAGGTTCAGGTTCAAGTGCTGGGGTTAAAGGTTCTAATGTTGAATTAGAGGCTTGGGCTTCGGGGCACTCAAGGATACGTGAAGGAGCTTGTTTTTCCTGGCCTTCACCTGAACAGTTCAAGACCCTGAACCCTAATTATAAACCCTAAACCCTATACACCCTAATTATAAACCCTCAATCCTAAATCCTAATTATAATCCCGAAGCCCTAGCTATAAACCCTCAACCCTATAGTTGCATTCTCAAAGCGTTGAAATGAGACCCGACTCATCGTCTCACTCCTGCAGGCAAAGGCAAGTACGTGTTCTGAGGGTGGGGATCCCCTCAGTGCCTTCGGGTCTTCAGGGCACCACCGGGTCCGCGCGTTCCTTGTCGTGGAGGACGGAACCGCGATCTGCGTAGTGCCTTCTTGAGGAAGCTTGGGGAGAGTACCTTGCATTGCCCAAGGATACTCCACGATTTTTGCTAACGGATCTCAGGGTGGCTTGAAGGAGACTTGTATGGGAATCGTTAGAGAAGGCGTGGTCTCCCCAATGCAACAGCCTTCCTCAAGGGTCTTGCCGTCAAATGATGGCAACGCTCTTTTTTCCACGACGCAGTTTCAGGCGCACAGGCCACCTGACAAGCCTGAGCGGGCTGTGTGCTGGAAGCGCAATTAGATAATGCGTGGTGGCATTTTCATACCTTGCAACAGATGCTTGCAAGTGAAGCTATCGCTTGTAGAACAGGTGCAGCAGGCGAGATGCAGCTAGGAGATTCTGAAAGTGTGGCCAAGGGCAAGCGGGTTTTTACAGAGATTGGCTTCCGTGTGTAGGGCCAGGCCTTAGGCCCCCCGCCATTTCTGGGTCTCAAGGGTTCTTCCTCCCCTTGCGACGAAAGATGACGAAAGACGGCAGCACGATCCCTAGCCAACAGCCCCGCACGATGCAGGGAATGGATGCGGGCCTCAAGCCTCAAGCGCCCTGGACATAAGATTTGGTTAAGACTTTTGATATATACATATATATATATATATATTTATACACACATGCATTTACCAATCTATGTGTGTATGTATTATAACATAGAGAGAGAGGGAGTATGTCTTTTCGTATGGAACCAACCGCCCAGCTCCAGGGTTTCCCGTCTCCGGGATGTGTCCAGTTGCAACACAGAGAGACCCATGCCTCTGCCCGTGGGTTCCTTGTGTCCCGGAGCAGCCTCTCAAAAAAGAGCATTCAAGCAGAAGCAGGCTCCATGACATCACTTCAGAGTCGCCTCCTTTGAAGCCCAACTATACCTCAAGTAAGCCACCGAAAGCCTGGTTTGGGGCGCTTAAGAGAGAGAAGGGGTCGCAGTCACTTCGCGCGCGCCCGGGTTTACTAGCACCATGCCGATGCTGGTACGGCCCACTCAGACCCTGAAGGAGCCCTGGGCTTGGCATGGCGCTTGTGGTGTTTTGGGTCGGGCTGCAGGAGTGGTTCTTGGACTTGAGAAACACCTGAACAGTTTCGTGAGACCCTCTAAGCCTTAAGGGAACCAGCTCCTGACCCCCCCAAACCCCAAACCCCAAACCCTAAACCATAAACCCCAAACCCCAAACCCTAAACCCTAAACCCTACTGAAAGGGCACCCTGATCCTCTTCAGGACCTCACCTCCACCCCGACCCACTTGGTGGAAACCAGCGGCTTCGAGCTGGGGCCCCTTGGCGCAAGACTACCCCCAAAAGGGGCTTAGGGTGATAGGCTAAGTTATAGGGTTATAGGGTTAGCGCGTTATAGGGTTTAGGGTTCAGGGTTTCGGGTTTAGGGTTTCGTAGAGTTGAAGGTTTAGGGTTTTCGGGTTTAGGATAGTGAGATTTATGCAGCATTCTAAAGTGCCGATCACTAAATAGGGATCTGATGGTCGAATCTGCTGCTCCATAGGAATAAAGATTCCTACACCTCACATCCTACATGATGCGCCGCCCAAAGCGAATCCTTAGTCTGCAGCGACGTGGTAATCGTTCTGGCTTTTTGGTGTCCGCCCCTTGGCGACCCAAATTTTGCGTAGACGGCAGTGCAAGATAGTGCAAGCACTGCTTTCGGAATTCGGCCTGCTTGTCAATGTCGCCTTGGAGGCTTGGAGTCTGAGTTTGCTTTGGAGGTTCCCGGGGTGGCTGAGACTTGTGAGGCTTGGGGCACTGTAGGGTCCTCACTTGCAACGTGCTTCATACTCGTACCGAGGCAGACGTCTCACTCTCCCGCGCACAAGAACGCCTCATTGGGCGCGTGGCTGGGATGCGCTTGTCCTCGCTCCAAATGCTGAAGTCCACGAGAAAGACATGCGCACCTTTTGCAACTTTTCTGCCAGCTGCGCACCCCTCTGGGGCCCCTTCAGAAACTCCCAAGACCTATCCAGCCCCCACGAACAGGGCCATACTGTAGGAATTAGTTCGCAAGGGCACAGGCTCCATGGATAATGGAATGACCGTGCCTCTGCACTTCAAGGAAGTCCTTCTCCGAGCCCTTCCTGCGCCAGCCGACGGAGAGGGCACGACAGCCGGAGACAAGCCGGGAGGACATCCTCTGAAGCAAGTCTGTTTTTTTTTGGAGGGGTCCTCCTTGGGCCCGAGGCCACAAGCGCGGCGATTGCGGAGCAGAGAGAGAGAGAGAGTTTGGGTAGGAGTCTGGGCGAAGGTGCTCCAGGGCTCTGGCTCTCATCCTCTCACCCTACGGCATTCCTAAACTGTAAGGTACCCAAGGTGTTCTGCTCTGCTGCGTGAGAACATACGCACAAATTTCAAGAGCTCCATGAGGTGATTTGGCGACCCTTCCCGAGCACACCTTACACCAGAATGAGCCCTTCAGAAGCTCACGCTCGCCAGGAGCGAGATCACATAGGTCTCGTGCGATTTCACCGCCAGCCGAAAGTGCCCATCGCTGGCGGCATTTGCTGGACCGGCAAAGGGTGAAGGTTTGTGTGTATTGCCATTGCATACGGGGCCGGTCACGCTAAAAATGGCCAAAAATGCCTAGAGGGGGCCCCAACCCAGGGACGGCAGCCGGTTCACGTCATTTAAGGCACGAGATAGCCGAATTGCAAGCGTTTTCGAATACACTCGATATGAACGAAGAAATCCCTGCGCGACCCTTTCATATGGGACGACAAGTTTGGAGTACCATTCCCGTCGGACGCCTATAGACATGTAGTTGGGATGGCGGTATGTAGGATGTGGGATGAAGCTGTTGGATGTGGTGATGTAGCTGTCAGATGTGCCCGGCTGGCAGGAAGGCCAAAACTGGCCAGTTCTTGAAGAACCAGGCAAGGCTTAGAGCAACCCAAGTGGCCCAAGTGGACGCGGAGGATGAAGCACTGTACTCTTCTTTGGTACCCTTTGGCTGGAGACGCTTGAACATTCGTTGGTGCCTGGGTTGATGCGCTCTATCCCCAAACCCCCTAAGCCCCAAGCAGGGGAGCGGCTGCCTTCGGCCAACCCCCTCCCCCCGCTCTCGGAGGCTTACTATCCCCAGCGGCCCAAAACGAACCTTTGGGATGTGCCCGCGCACGCTGGCGTGAATACCTGGAAGGAGAATGCTTCTAAGGGCCATGGTCTGAAGGGTCTGACAAGGGTCTGAAGGGCCCTAGCCACCGGAAGTTGATGAACTGCTGTAAGGTCGTTTGCAATCTCGGAGATGAGCCCAAAACCCAAAGCCTCCCAAGCGCCCCACGGAAGATTGTAAGATGGAGGGTGATCACGACAGCGCCGCAAGTACGCCGTACACAGCATATAGTCCCAAAACCACCTTGAAAATTCGAGGCTAAGCGCAGACCTTTCATGAACCCTGGCGCGTTATGGCGCGATGAAGTGAGCACCCACGAGCACTCACAGGACTGGCATGGACCGAAGATGGCCGCGGACGCAGAGACGCGCGCCGGGCCTGTTTACCCGTTACCCAAGAAGAAGTTCGAAAGTTAGACGCCATGTGCTGACGTCGTCTGGAAGGGTATCCTATAGGAGTTTTAAATTGGGTGGGGGGAGGTGTGTTGATTCGGAATCCTTGTGTTGAGTCGTCGGCTCCCAGTCCCAGGAACCACAGGTCTGCTCTCATACAACGGTGATTTCGGGGCTTTGTCAGATAGGGGACAAGCACAGCATCCGAAGACAAGGCTCCGCACTCAACGTCTGCTCTCTATACTTTCGGGCTGAGGGCACTTGATTCCACAGGCATGGCCACTGGGGCCGGACGGCCGAGAAAAGAGTACCCCTACTAGCCCCCGCTCCCCCCAAAAATGGTAGAATCCTGAAACCAGGACCCTCACAAAGGCTCCTTCCTTGGCTTGAGACTATATCCCCCTTTGGAATAATTTGATAGTTTTGTTTATATATAATTTCCTATTAGGGTTCTAAGGGGAGTATAGGAGATGGCTAGGGAGCCCTGGCTTCTTCGGATGGCAGGATCGAGCGCCTCGACCACTTCGACCAAGAACAGGCAGCAGTGCTGTGCGTCCTTCAGTCAAAGCCTTCCACAGGATTTCCGGAATTTTCAGGGCATGGTTTCGTACATACTTGCTTGGGGTCTATACGCTATGGAGTTGAAGAGCTTCTTTTGGTGGCTGAAACTTGCCGCCTCTTGCAGCCCCAACCCAACGGGGAGCCCTTGGCGCCATCGCGCCACAGGCTGAGTGGGAGGCCAAGAAGTTCTTCGTCAATACGGTACGGGCCGAGACGCCGGAGCCTCAGCTCAGATCCGGCTGTGGGGTCTTAAGACCCGAAACTCTTAACCCTACAAAGCCAAAACCCTAAACCCTAGCCCTTTTGTGACAGCTCTGTGAGCTCGACGTGGTCGTGAATCCAGAAGTTTGGGAAGAAGGGAATCTTGGACCATCATCAAAACCTGGAAGGCGGCGTGCCTGACGCAGTGCTTTAGTCCCCACGTGTTCTTACAAGTACGGCGCGCAAACGATCTTTGGCCCCCCCCCTCCGTATGGCAGAGTGTCACTCAGCCCTGACAAGCCCTCTGAACCTGAGAGAAACCCTCGAGGCTGGACCGTCTGTCCAACCGGAAGATCAACCGGCGGATGCTCGAGTTTCAGCCCAGCAGCTTCCTCAGGGTGGTTGGGCGGTTTCAGGGCGTCGAGGCTTTCGGGAACAGTTGTGAGGTTCAGTTCATCTCACAGACGACCCAGTCCTGAACCCTGAACCATTGATGATTATCATTTCTCACTGTTGTTTAAACTTCATGAATTCAGTATTCCTCAGACTCTAGACGGCGAGACCACTCCCCGACGTTCGCAGAGGTTGGGCCCCTCACCATCGTTCAAGACGAGAGGCTCCGCGTGGCCCCCTTTGGGACTTCGGTGCTTTTACCGGCGTTCGAGGGTTTATAGGGCCCTATAGTGGAGTCAGTGCGCACTTTGTGGCAAGCTCCTCCCACGCCAAAAGGCAAAGGAGCAGCGTCTTCAGCGATTGACCGTCGGATCATGAGATGAGCAGTTGCGCCTCACTTTTTTCGGCCAGGTGCATCCTATGTTCGACGCTGGGCCAGCAGAGAGGTGTTTTTTGAAGGGTTGTTTAGGGTCTCACAGGTATCTTTGGCTCCAGAAAAGGTCGCATTGCTGACTAGTGCAGGTGGTTCGGTGGGTTCCAATCAGCAGAACCTGCATACTCTGAGTCGGGCTCACATCGTCCCTCTACATGCGAACTATCCGCACGCTTTACCCCTTCCCCAAAGTAGGCCCCGAGTAGGCCCTGGTAGAACTGCGATGGGAAGCGCTAGAGCCGAGCTGCAAACGCCGAAGCGAAGGAAACGTTCGAGTCGTGCATGGGCGAAAAGCCTCGGAAGGAGCTCAAAAAGGTGGGCCTTAAACCCGAAACCCTAAATCTTAAACCCTAAACCTTAAACCCCAAACCTTAAACCCTAAACCTTAAACCCCAAAACCCTAAACCCCAAAACCCTAAATCCCAAACCCCTAAACCCCAAAACCCCAAGGGGGAGCATGAGGGAGAGGGTTTGCTTCGACCAGGAGGTCTGGGCTTCTCGGGTCCCTGGAGGGTCAAACCGCAACGGACCCGTCTCTCTGATTAGGGGGTTTAGGGGTTTAGGGTTTAGGGTTTAGGGTTTAGGGTTTAGGGTTTAGGGTCGGCACAAGGAACTCTAATGGAGGCTTCGGAAGAGTCGTTCTTGATTTTACAGCATCAAGATATTTTGGTATGGCTAAACTCTGGAGGTAAATCGCGTAACCCCCAGCACTCTTTGGGATTTTACCGGTTCAGGTGCTGCTCACCATGATGGTGACACAAGAATTCGAGATGCTCCCGGCCCCACCAGTGCTGCATATTCCTTAAGAAGCTCACCCAGACTGCTAAAACCTACTTGAACCCATGTTCCTCCTCCCGAAGGTGTATACAGACAGTGTGCTACGCAAAGACCGACAGGCGCCCGATCCATCCCTGGTTGCGGGAGGTTTGGGGCATCAAGCTACTTCTTAAGAACCTCCAAAGAATCAAGGCAAATCATGCCTACATTGCCCTTTTGAGGAAGACTTGTTTTTTGTTGGGCGGGGGGGGGGGGTGTTCTTAAGCAAATAGTAGCATGGTAGGGTTTTGTGTTAGGTCTGGACGATTTGGGAGGTTGCCTCGCTTCGGTTTTGGGGCTTCAGAAGGCCCTGGGGGAGGCTTGCGGGATTCTCCTGAACCCTTCCAAGCCGTTTTCGCTTCTCTGCGATTGCAGAATGTTTCTCTCTGTGAAGTTGCTCCGTTGCTCTGCAAAAGAGATGTTTTCTTAAAACGCGGGTGTCCGTCGGTGTCGATGTACATGTCAGGGAGGGTATAGGAACTAGGCTCGTGCCAAGTGCCAAGCCCCGTTTTTTGTTCCTGTTTCCCGGCTGGATCTGGAGCCTGTGGAAGTGACATGCACAGGCCATCCGTCAGATCGTCTCGCGCATCCAGAGCGAAGAGACCTGGAAGTTGGCGTACAAGCACTACCAGCAGGACGGTACAGCATCTTTCAATCAATTGAGAAGTTTTGATGGCATCAAAGAAACCTCCGCAAGCTCTCCTCTTAGGGCTTGAGGGTTTTAGGGTTTATAGGGCAGGCTGGAGAAAGCATGGGCTGGCCGCAAGTTCTGACCCGGGCCCCGGCTCGACAATCCAAGATATGAGCAGGACAGGCGTGCGGACATCCGTGCCGACCTGCGGGAAAGACAGGCCTTGTGGCACTTGTTTTCAGGGCACGACGGGATTGAGAGTTTGTTGGTGTTTTTGGGTTATTGTTGAGGCGATCGCAGACTTTAAAGTGCTACCAGTAGTCTTCATCTAAATTTTCTCTGTCGGAGCTCGAAACACAGTGCCAAACCAACGACATCTTCAGACACCACCTGCTCTGCCCAGAGCCGCACAGACCCCATGTCACCCCGATTTCCATGCTCCCAGCGCGCACAAGGCCCACATCGAGCAGCTGATGACGCTGTCCGGGCAACCTATCAAGCAGGATTCCCCCAGCGCTGTCCTCTAGGTAATGCGGGTTCAACTGCTGTAAGGGGCCTAGCAAGATTCTTGTATTCATGCCCTGACTTGTACATGGCAAAATGCACCCTCAGTCCGCCTCTTCGCGGTAAATCCAGGATGGATCACCTCCGCTGCCCAACAACTGCACCCGGCGCAGTGAGGCAGGCGCTCCGCTGGGTTTTGTAGAGCTCGCATGGTTGTTTGGGGTCAACACGGAGCGACCTCAGTAGGGCCTCTATAGCTCAGCCCATCACAAGAAGCCAAGAAGCTGTGTGCGCGCCTGCGTGGCCACTTCTGGTCCAGCAAGGGGGCGGTCAGTCTTGGATGGCCCTTATCAGTCTTGAAGGATGACCGTATACCTCCCAGGGTCCCAGTGTCCGGTCATGAGGACATCAGCAAAGGCGCTGTTTCAGGTGCGACAAAGCCAATTACTCCGACCGACTTGCAGTTCATGGGAGTCGCGAAAACTACGGCATGCGAGCAAATCAGGGCGGGACAGACCGTCAGGGACGAGAGAATTGTTTTTTGCTTGTCGGGGCGCACAAGAATTGGCTGACGCCGCCAACTCCAGCCCGTGCTTCAATACTCGCTCATGAAGTGGTCAAGTTCCTGGAGTGTTCACCTGTCTTCGACAGCACTCTTGGCACTTGCGGCCGATTGTGCAGACATGCTCTGTTTTGGCTCTTTGGGCATCGGTTAATGTTGCTCATTAATGTGCGACTCTGGTGGCGGGTTTGGGGACCGACGCGGCCTGGTTCCACAGGCTGGATAGTAACTTGAAGCACGAAAGGGCGGCCCCAAGCCATAAATCGGCAAACGCTGGTACTTTCCTTATCATGTGTTTGCTGGGAGACTTTATGCGAGCATATCTCAACCTGAAACTCCCTTAGAAGCCCCCACACCTGAAGTGCTAAAAGAGCCCATAATGTGCACACCCAAGATGCCTATGGCCAAGGGTTTTCAGCCGACGGATGAAGCTCGCACCTTTGCACAGGAGCTGGCAGCCCCTCGGCCGCCCAACGTGCCAGAAGACGTGACGCAGTTCAAGGAGTTTCGGGGCCTCATCCATGTCCGGCCCTGAGCGAGCTATTGCTTGCAGTCGATAACATACATGCCAGTATAGTAGGGCACATACACGGATATATAGGGGACATACAGACCGGGAGGGGGGGGGGGGGGAACATCTCGCAAGCAAAATCCTTAGACGCGTCACGGCCCCTGCAAGCCTTGCACAGAAGCGCCGAAACGCTTGCAGCTCGCAAGTCGCTTCAGCTGCTGAAACCACCTGATCAACCCTACACCTCTATAGACCCCAAAACCATCTGAAACCCCTGAAACCCCTAAACGAATCTTGAGGCGGACTGCGACTTTGCCTTGGAGGTGCTCTACCCCGGCTTCGGCCCTGAGCTGAGTCCGGGGCCCAGACCCGGAAGATCTTTTCGGATGGTTTATAGGGCTCATAATAGGGTCTACAGTTTCATACACTTTAGGGTATGCGAATATTTCGCAAGTGGCGGGTTGAGAGCCTGATTGTGATGAGGTGCTGAGGTGTTTGGGGTTTTGTGGGGGGTTTGGAGTTGTGACTCTTTCTTGCTCAAAGCCGGATGTGCTTGCCTCCTGTTGTCACAATGGTTCTGTACCATCTTTGATTTTGTTAGGGTCTTGACTTGTTGCCAGCCCTTCTGAGGCAAGGGCTTCTGTGCCAACGCGACCAGGACCGCCGAGCGAGCAACAACCCCGAACCCTAAGCCGCAGGAGAGGCACCAACAAAGAATCGTCGGGTGTGCGCGTCAGGGCTGTTGAAGTGGAAGGGGAGGTGGCGTCTGACCCTCGCTCCGCGGCAGGTTCACAGGGCCTGGCTCTGATTTCTAAGTGGAAGAATGCCTGTTGCGAGCCTGGGTGTTGCCAGCACCCCTCTCAGAGAGGGCTTTTTGAACCTCTGAGCCTCTGAGCCCTCCCATTCTACCCGACTCTGCCCATTTTGTCCCACAGCCCCTCCTGCTTCCGATCATGGCACTTGTTGCCCTCCAGGAGTGCCGAGCCTGGTTGGTCCCTAGCTCAGAGGGACTGCTGAGAAGGGCTTTCAAGGAGCTCTTCGAGTGAATGCGCTATAGGTTGCAACCTTGATGCGGAGTAGAGGCTGCTATAAGGTTGGGTGTCTCGCATTGCAGCAACATGAACAGGCAGAGGTGCATGCACCTAAAACGCACCAGGTCCAGCATGTGACGGACCAGCTCCACAGAAATATGCCGAAATTGATGCTTTTCAGCTTTCCTGTGCGTTGGAGGCCTGTCAAGAGAACACTATTGAACACACTGATGGCCCGATCCCTTGGACTTGACCACAAAAAGTCCCGAACATTTCAGAGATCTTTAGGCATATGCAGAGTTCGAGTTTTCCCACTGAGGCCCCCTCCGCCTCCAGCCGAGACGCCGCGCCGGCATCGGGGGCCTTCGCGGGAATCGCAGCTCAAGAAGGCAAGGCAAAGGTTTTGGGTCTTTACCGTTGCTTTGCCAAGGTTTAGGGTTTAGATGGGTTTAGGGTTCAAATTTACGTGCCTTTGGGGGGGGGGGGGGGGCAGAATGCCGGCCTGACAGGGGACGAAACCGCTTTGGCCTATTTGAAGAGGTCCCTGAGAGGGCTCCCCTGCACCCTAAACCCTATAAACCCTATAAACCCTATAAACCCTATAAACCCTACAAACCCTGTAAACCCTATAAACCCTATAAACCCTATAAACCCTATAAACCCTATAAACCCCGTAAACCCTATAAACCCTACAAACCCTACAAACCCTAAACCCTATAAACCCTACACCCTCCTACCGATGGCACTCCCAGCCTCCAATGGAAGCTCCGGATCTCGAGAGGAGCTGCGCCGTCATGGACGCACCCGCAATCACCCGCATCCCCGCGACGCGCGCAAGCAAACAGACGGCGCGCACACAAACGACGTCAAGCGAGGGTTCTCTAGCGTCTGCAGAGACAGTATACTCTTGGTAGCCCAGTTGGTACCCATTACCCTTTTTTGGTGTTGGGACCCCTTATCAAGTAACCAACCAAAAAAGGCTACCCTCATTATAACATGGTTTCTGGCCTACAATTGTAGTACAGCCAGAGGCCGCGCACAAGGGTCGAACCTGAGAGAGTCAGCCCGAAATCCTCGGTCACACACCTGAACATCCCTGAAAACAACGGTTTAGGGTTTAGGGTTTAGGGTTTAGGGTGTATAGGGGTTACAGGGTTTAGAGGGTTTAGGGTTTAAAGGGTTAGCAATCTGCAGCTGCACAGGGCGGCACCGTCAGCAAAGGGGCCATCCCAGTGGCAAAGTACCTCGGCAGCTGTTCGGACTTCTGGGGCTCTGGCCATGGCTTATAAGACATATTTCAGAGGCTTTCGGATGCAGGCTTTCGGATGCAGGCTTTCGTCTCTCCCCCCCCCCCCCCCACCTCATAAAGCTTGTGACGACTGACGTGACGGGCAGCGCCCAGGCGCGGGCGCGGCCGCGGGTTTCGGGGCTTGCGGCTTTCATCGTAAGTGGCCGCAGGGCTTAAAATTGGGCGTCAGGCGCAGGTCCCATGCTCATTGCTTGTAGTGGTCCAAATCGTGCTCCCCCCTGGGTCCTGTTCTCCCATGCCCTCGTGAAGTGCGCACGCGCGTTGCGGTCTTACATTGTTTAGGAGAACCAGTGGGCGATCTGAGGCCGCAGGTTTGGCAGTTGTGTTTGGCTGTCTTGATTCGGGTGTGAGGCCAGGTAGGGAAGTTACTTGCCAGCTGAATTCATTGCGATGTTGCGGGTAAGTAGCTGGGACCCTATAGGTTATAAGATGTTATGAGTTGTGTAGGTGGGCACCTGGCGGACCGGGACTTGGGTGAGGGTTTTGGAGTCCGATAGCCCACGGCCCTTGATGCTGGAGCCTGCAAGCCTCCCCGCGTCACCCAGGCAACGCCTGGAGCGCATTGGCACTCGCGTCAATGAGGATCTCCTGGCCGATCACTCCATGGCGAGCCCGGGAATAGGGTTGGATGGAACATGATATATGTACATGTTTACGTATATACACACATACATGTTTAGCTAATTATTAACATGTTTACACGTATCAGAGCATGATTAAGTATGAGCAGAGAATGCGCTGGATGTAGGGTTGAGGTGTGTTGAGGTGCTGGTTGCGGTTTCTAAGGAGCTATAGGAAAACATCAAGCCCACTGACTCCCTATGCCATAGCGCCCCCCCCCAGTCCCCGGCTCCTCGCAACAATTGGCAAATGCCACCAGGCCCAGTTTCGGCGGACGCAGGCGCCGCCTGCTCCCCAGCAGAAGAACACGCTTATGCAGGAGGAGCCCGCGAATTCCGGGCCGGGGGAGGGCGGGGAAACTTTAAAGAGACAGGTAGTGATCTTGAGAGTTTGAGCGCCTTAATTTAATTGCAGGCATGATGCTCTTCTTTGCATTGAATGTGCGTGGGATAAGGCCTTCAAGGTTCTTCGGAGGTAGAAGCATGTGTGTTGCTCTTAGAAGTTTGTTCGAGCATGTCTAAAGACAGCTCAAGAGTTTATGTTCTGAGTGCGATCCTGAGCCTTTCTGGGCTCCCAGAGTAGCCTCCGGGCTCTGACACCCACACTGACGAGGCGCCCTAGCCCTAAACCCTAAACCCTAAACCCTAAACCCTAAACCCTAAACCCTAAACCCTAAACCCTAAACCCTAAACCCTAAACCCTAAACCCTAAACCCTAAACCCTAAACCCTAAACCCTAAACCCAGGCCACCCTGGACTGCAAAATCCCCTTTTGCAGGACTTCTCGCCGACGGTGACGCAGCGTGATCCCGACCGCATGAAAGCAGGAGGTCGCGAAAGGGTTTTGGGGGGGGGGCCCCTTAGAAGGGTTCTTACAAGGCTTCGGGCTGCGGTTGGCTAAAAACGCGGAGGTTGAACTCTTTGCGGCTTTTGGACCGTTGGAGGGCGTGGAGCTTAGGGCTCAGGATGCGGTTGTTTTTTACGGTTTTGGATGGTTTTGGCGGGACTTGGGGTGCGGGATTGGGGGCCGTTGTGGTCTTCTGTCGGGTTGTGCAGGTGCTGACGACAGCCCACAGCTTCAGAGCTCTCATATGCGCTGAACAAAGAAATTCTAAGTCATGCAAAGTCTCCGATGTTTCAACCTCAACCCTGCCTTCGCCAGAGCTCTCGAAAGTTCAGCCGCCTCCAACGTGGGCAGGCACCTTCACGCGGACACAGATAAGTCACCCGAGCTCTCCGAAGGTGGGCACCGGGCAGCAAAAAAGAGACCCAACTTCCCATAACCTTCCTGACCTCTGCTTCTCCTAATTTCTGAGACCTGAGCAGGCATGGGCAGGCCCATGAGTGGGGTCTGGGTCTGCATAGGGCTTGCATACAGGCCAGGAAGATCGCAAGAGGTCGTGTTGGATGTCGACCCCACACCGCATCCTGCTAATTGGGGTTAGGGTTTCTGGTGGTCCCAAAGTGAAAGCAACTATTGCGCATTTGAGTTCTGGAGCTCTGAAACCTAAATTGAAAGCCATGGCTCTTACAGCTAAATGTCTGCTACTCCCATGTTTGTGCAGTTCCAAACTCTTCGCGGGTGTAAAAAAGGCGTTTAGAGTTTTGTTAGAGAATGTGGTTGCACCCTCGCGCCCCCATCATCAAAGCCTCGGAACCCAACGAGGACTTCCAAACAAAATAAGCCTACTTAAAGTCCCTCCTGAACCTCCTTTAGAAGCCCCTTCTGAGGGCCTTTGAATATAGAGCGCCCTTGAGCTCAAGCGCCCTGATGGCGAGGCGCAGGAGTCCTTGCCGCCCCCGCGCCGGGCCATGGTCTATCCGGCACTGGGGGCCCAGGGGGTTCTGGGATCAAGTTGTTTTTTTTCGAGGCTGTGGTTTGTACGGTGGTCCGTTTGGGTTTTGGAGTTGGTTGGGGAGATCTTGCAGCAGACGGCTTTGGCACGAAAAGCCCGAAGCTCCCTTCGGCCCTTCCCTGAACCTCGCAGCCCCTAAACCTAAACCCTAAACCCTAAACCCAAAAGGTCATGGTGGCCTCGCAGCCGGAGTCGCCGAAGGCGACGAAGTTGCTCCAGGCAGCTGCCGAAGCGAGTGGTTCGGAGTCTGTCGGCGACCCCTCCCGGATCTCCCCCTCCCCCACCCACCCACCCAGACACCCAGACACCCACACAAAATAGTTTCCACGCTTGGGGGCGATCATGTGCGTCCTCGGCTTCTGGGTTTCTGGCATGGCCGTGCCGCCCCCGCAGTGAGCACGTGCCGACCTCCACACCCTTTTGGGAAGTTGCATCTCCTTACGTCTCTTGCTCTCTCTCACTCTCAGTAGCATAATGCCTACATAGGCGGACTCTTCATGTTTGTGTGCGGAGCATGGCACAGGCCACCAGCACGAGCGCGATGTCTTCCCAGAGGCTCGAACTTTGTCAGAAGAGCCGGGAACTGCTTAAATCCCAAGATGCCCTCTGTTCTCCTTATAATTAAGGTAGTATTCCGGTGAGGTTCAGAGTAGGGTTACTCTAATGCTACGCGACCCGCCTCGGCCCGGGCCTGCCCAGCGGCAAGGTAACCCAAACCGGAGAGCGCAGGTGTGAAGCCTGTTGTATCAGGCAGGCTGATGTATAGAGAGGGCGCCCCAAGTATGGGAGTGGAAAAGCAAGAACAGTACGAACAAATAAAGGAGGGGGGGGGTGCGGTGGAGCGGGGTGGGCGGGGGGTGGGCAAGGGGGGGAACCCTAAACCCTAAACCCTAAAACGCCACCGTCCGCTCCGGGACGCCTCTCGGCGTGCAATGCTGTTGGGAATCTGCTGCCATTTTAACGACCTCTACGGCCAGAGGCGTTCGACGGATTAGGGTTTCTTTGGGTTTGCAGCAGGCGGTTGTGGCTTCCAGGTGGGACAGGAAAATCAAGGACTCCGCGCCGAAGTTGATAAAGGATAGACTACTTGCAACAAAAAGTCTCCTACGCAATCCGAGAGTGCATGAAGAGAGCCACAACAAACGTAGCCTTAAACTCTCTAGTAAGGAGGGCCTCCATCCTTGACTTCACAGGCTCAGTCCCACGTCCACGTTCGGAAGCGCCTCCTCGCCACAGCTTCGCCTGTGCTCTCCTCGGCCGGGACAGAAGCTCCTTTCAAGCTTGCAAGCCAGGTGGGATCTGCACGTACACCCTGCCTAGTTGAATTGGGTCTTTGAAACATATAAGGAGCCGTGCCACCGCAGCACCCAACCCCCCAAAAACATGAGCACCTAACACACACTGAACCTAGACTCTCTTCCAGGCCGGCCCGCTCGCTTCTGACGATGGGATCCTGTAGCCAGGACCAGGCCTGGCTGAGAGCCCGAAGGCCCTGAATTAGCAAGATCAGAAGGAAGGGCGCAAGCGACGTGCTGCAAAGTTAAAAGTCTTTAATTGAGAGTTCGCAGAAATTTCGAGCTGAGGAACTTGCGGAGTTCGAAAGTTCGACCATTTCGAGCTCGAAGATTGGGAGTGCGCGAACAGAAGCCGCTCTCCCTCCGAGTGTCCTGCGTTCAAACGTGGCGAGTCGAGAGATTTCAGCTTGCTTCATGCAGGGTTTAGCGTGCATGGTTCATGGTTCAGGGTTTAGGATTAGGGTTGCAGAAGGGCTACCCAAAGGTTGCTTGGGGTAAGCTGCCTGAAGTTGCCCGCCTTTACATTCGAATTCCTTCTAGATTGGTCGTCCTTGGAATGCTCAAATCCGGAGCCCGTTCGCCCCGTATACAAGGCCGTAGGGTTTATAGAGCCTTTCAGACTGCTGTCTCAAACTTTTCTAACTTACAAACTCGAGCTGCTCGAGCCTTCAACCCGTGAATCTCCGAAACGTTCAAAGTCTTCAGCTTATCGTGCTCGGGTGTCGTCGAACTTTATTGCGAAGGTAACAACAAGCTCCCTGTTGAGCTGCAAGAACTCAAATAGAACTTCCGCTGAGTTGAAAGCGCCTACAGCTCTGGGAGGCTCTCACGGGGGTCTGCTCGGATCTCGACGACTTCGAGGCCGGGGGGCCACCCTGGAAGGACATCTTGTAGTGAATTCTTGGAGTGCGGCGTGGGGGCAACTGAGAGTAGAGATCCATTTCTCGCGGGTGCGGTGTATCGACCCCTTCCCTTCACGAACACGTGAATCGCGGCTCCTTTGATTTTTTTTGGGTGGGGGGGGGGGGCTCAATTCAGACAATCTGGGAGCCCTGAGTGCTTTGCTAAGGGTTGTGAATTGAGCATGAGGAGTCTCAGGCCTGTGGTTCCGCCTAGAGGGTTTGCTCTGTTCGAAAGCATGAGACACGAATCGATGAATCGGCTTCCCTGATCCATCGGTAGGGTCAGCCTGCAGATGACGTAGCTCTCATGTTTCAGGTTCCTGATGCTCCCGACCTTGCTTGCCACGGCTCCGGCCGAACAACCGGCGCCTTCCCACTCCAACCCCTTTTCACCGCACAGGCCAACATGGAAGCCATCCCACGGATCAGCAACTTCTTCGCCGAGCCCCACCGCCGGCGAGGCGGCCGGAGCCAGACAAAGAATTGAGGTGGACAGGGTGCTTCGGGCAGAGGGTGAAGGAAGGTGACTCGCTTGCTTTTGAACCCCCCCCCCGAACCCGAACAAATCATGATCATACGGGACATGTGCACCCTGAATGAGCAACCTGAAGAGCCAGGCCCCAGATCTTCCCAGGCTCAGTGCCACTTGAGAAGTCGAGTCTCGGGGTTTGGAAAGTTTCGGGGAGAGAAGGGCGGGGAGGGGCTCCCAGAGGCAAAGAGCGCTCAGTCGAGCCGGCAGCGCGGGCCAGGGCCTGAGACATGTCGCATCAGTCTCTTTAAGAAGTGTTCATTGTGGGAAGCCGCTTTTGCTACCTTCATAGCTTTACACGACATTCAGGGGTGTGTGAGGAGGGCTTCAATCTACCCGCTTCCCTCTTCGGTAGGAGAGGGCTCACGAACTAAGAAACCTGCGGCAAAGCAGAGAGCTTGCAAGGAAGCTGCAAGTCCTCGTGCCGTAAGCATTTCGAGTTACACGTTAGGACACCAAGCCAAGCTCTACGTAAGTGGCGCATCCTTCTAATGGTTCTGCGGTTGATTCCAAGATTCTCTGAGGTCGGAGGAGAGGATCCAGGTCACCCCACAATGGTTCCGGGGGATTTTGGGGAGTTATGGTTTGGCGGTTTTTAGGGGGCTCGCGTGCTACACGAATGTGGAATGAAAGGGAGGGTTGTTGCGTGCTACTGCTCTTGAAGCTGCGGGTCCTTGAGCCTGCCCTGGCTTGCCAGGCATCTCTTACCACATCTCTGACTGACGGCCAAGTGTTTGGCAGCTGCTGGGATCTCGGATCATTTGGCCACCCAATCGCCCCTAAACTGTTGACAAGAGGAGAGCCGGAATGCCAGCTGCACGTTCAGCCTCAGTGTCATCAGAATCGAGAGCCCTGCGTTTGTGTCACCGTAGGAGGAGACTGTTTGCATGAAGTGCAAAACTGGCCCGCCATGCTATGTGGAGGATAGCGCTAGCTAGTTGTGGCTGCATCGGATGTCAGACAGACACAGCGTGGACCAAGTTTTTGGCATCAACTACCCGCAGGCGATGTTGTACATCGGTAATTCTCGAAATCTGGGGTCTGTCCACGTTGGCTTAGTGAAGGGCTTCGGATTTCGGAGTGTTTGGGACCAACCGCCTGAAATCAAGGAACACCTTCCACGTGTACCAACATTCACCAAGGCTTCTTCTTACCCTCTTAATGCCACTCCTCCCAAACAGATGTCCTTCTCCGTCTGTTTTGCCTTTAAGCCTTCCAAACAAGTCCGAAGTTTCCAAACCTCGATTCCTCAACCCAAGCCCTCAGCGTTCTAAAACCTCATTCTACTCGTGTCGTGCAACGCTGGCTCCTCATGTGTACCGGACGGACATGAATTCGCACGTAGGCCCCCAAAAACAGGACAAGGCAAGACTTGGGGGGGAAGCCCGAGTACTTGTTTCATGGAGTTCGAGGCTCCACACATCATGAGAGTCAGAAAGGTTTGTGAGATGTGAGAGAACGCGCCATGAAGCTGGCGCTTGTGTTTTCCACCCTTTGCCTGGCCGCTGGCAAGCAGCTGGGCTGCGTTTGGCTTTGGGTTTAGCCGTCCGAGAGTGCAGAGACGTGAGAGTAACCGCAGACTTTCGCGCATGCCATTTACCATGTCGCCAGCACCCGTAGCGTTAGTGCCATTCCACAGCAAGCTTCAACGAACTTCAAGCTCCTTAAGGTTCAGAAGCCCTGACACTCATTCACTGGTGCAAGGAAGCCGCACATTGTTTTCTTCCTCGCCGATGATTTTGGTTGGGGCAACCTGGGTTACCATCGCAGGGACACCGGAGACTCACCCGAGGTGCTACACTGAACGACTTTGGGGTCATCCCGGTTTTTCGGGTTAAGGGTTTAGGGGTTGTCTAGTGAGAAGCGGAAGTTTGAGAAATTCAGTGGCTTCGTGAGAGGCTGTTCAGCAACTCCAGCTGTCTCGCAGTCGCACGCAAATCAACATACACGTCGGGTCTCAGGAACCCACACTAAACCCAGAGACTCCAATACTCCTGAATTAAGGAAGATCCCTTAAACCCTATAAGGAACCCTACTATAATGTAGGGAATAGTCCTTAATTAAGAAAGTATTGCAGTCCCTGGGAACCCACCTAGGCACCCTGCAAAAACTCCTGAAGGAGCTTCAGGGCAAGGCCGAAGTGCACACGCCCACACTGGACAGGCTCATCGATGAGGGCATCTTGCTCCTGGGCCCCGGTTTAGTATGGCGCGCCTTTTTTGCCTTCCTCCAAAACCTGAAACCCCTACATGGACTCCCAAAAACCCTGAGAACTCCGGCCCTTTCCGGAATGTGTCGTAAGCTCCGCGATACAGAGATGTTCTCGCGATTGAGTTCCGAGCTTTGGAGCGAAGCCCTTGGCATGAGAGCGCCTCAAAGCCCGTTTCCAGCGCTGAGCATCTGCCCCTGCTAGCCGTTAAGTTGTAGGGTTTAGGGTTTATAGGGTTTAGGGTTGGGCTCCCAAGTTTCTTTGCCAAGTCTATCATCTCATTTTTACAGCGACCTTCGTGTTCTCGAGGGCAACTAATTCATCCGGGTAGGCCCTAGGGATATTTTACATTTTCCCTTACTGGGTTTAGCGGAATCCTGGGTCTCAAAATCGAAGAGCAAAAACAAAAAGACACATTAGAGTGAAAATATCCACTACAATAGAATGATATGAGATTTGAAGAATAGAAAAATGTAAAGCAGTCTAGATGAGAAAAAACGAAGCGTTTAACTCGCAGAATATTGAAAACATATCATAAAAATGATGGACCCCTCCCCCCAAAAAAAAAAACACCCTCAAAAAAACACCCGAGGCTGAGCCGCCACTACGGCTTCAAGACCTGCTCGCCGAGCCGGTCTGCCCTGCAGACCGGACGCCTTGCGGTGCACGTCAACATCGAGCGCCCCGGCTTTGAGAAGCAGCCCTATATCATTTAGGGTTCAGGGTTCAGGGTTTAGGGTTTAGGGTTTAGGGTTTTCTGCCCCAAGGATGTCTCAGAAGAGAAAGGAGGATAGAGCAAAGCATGGCAGAGTAGAGTGGGTGTTCTTGGGGTTCTGTTTTGGATCCCTCTGCGCCCTCCCTGCCTCCCCACACCAGGCCATCACAAGTTCTAACCCTAAACCCTAAAACCCTTACCTCTAATTCCTAAACCTTTTTGGTCTGCCTGAAGGGCCCGGGGCACACCGCTGAGGCAAGACGTTATGCTTTCGACCGCGAACTACGAGGAGGGGGGGATTTCACTACTTGGATTAGGACCCCTGAAGTCATTTTGGGCAAGCAGAGTACCCAGAATCCCCCTCTAGTGTAATAGTGGCTCGGCTGCGTATCCATATATGGACACTGATTCGACATCCATGTGCTGCTACCCCAAACTTGGACACAAGCTGTGTTCCACCGGTCGGCTTGAGATCCGAAAGTGACAGCACCGGGTGGCCCAGTTGCCCAGCTCGGTCCCTTAAACCCTAAGCCCTAAGCCCTAAACCCTAAACCCTAAACGCTAAACCCTAAACCCTAAACCCGAAACCCTAAACCCTAAACCCTAAACCCTAAACCCTAAACCCTAAACCCTAAACCCTAAACCCTAAACCCTAAACCCTAAACCCTACCCATACACTGCAGCTGTGCCAGGACCCCATGAGCGGCTACTCGGGCATCCCACGAAACATGACCGGGATTGCAGAGAAGCTGCGCTCGGCCGGATACCGCACCCACATGGTCGGGAAGCTTGGAGGGCAGGGAGCTTTTTGGGGGGTTTCGGATCCCGGTTATACCAGATTCTCCCCCTCCGTCTGCTCCAACACGCTTGGGCCTCCCATCAGCTCCTTCTCTTAGGGTTTAGGGTTTAGGGTTTAGGGTTTCGGGTTTATACGAAATGCGGTGCTTTCTTCAGCCCTCTGAGGAAGTGGGATGTGGGGATGGCAACTCCGGATCACACACCGAAGGGCCGCGGCTACGAGACCTGGCACCTTGGACAGTGATTGAAAGTCGGATAGGGTACAACATAATCTACAAAGATATGTAATCATAGAATGTATATATGCCATGATATATACAATCAACCACACAAATCATGTGAGCCAGTGAACTTGGGATTGATGTTCGGATTGATTCGGAGGGGCTCGGACTTGTTCCGCAGCCAGAGGTATGGATACTACGGTCATGCGAACCACTACTGGCACATGTTGCCAGACCCGACGTATGCCGTGGTTGATGAGTGCTTGAATCAAGTCAGAGACCTGTCCATGCACAACGCAAGCTACACTGGCCCTGTGCGCGACGCCATCTCCCTGTCAGCTGCATGCGCCGACCCCGAGTCGGATCGGGGATGCTATGAAGAGCATCTCTTCAAGGAGAGGGTCCTGGAGATCATCCGGGAGCACAAAGTGGAGGAGCCCTTGTTTCTTGTCTATGCCTTCCATTTGGTTCACGTCCCACTGCAGGTGCCCAAGATATGGCTGCATGAGATTGACCATGCTGTAAAGGCTGCAGGTGGCTTGCCATTCGATTCTGAGAACCGGCGGCTGTATGCTGCCATGACTCTTTACATGGATTATGCCATCGGAAAGGTCGTTGAAGCTTTGAAGAACAAGGGCATGTATGAGGACACGCTTGTCATTTTCGCTTCAGACAACGGGGGCTCTATTGATGCCTACAGTGGTGGTTCAAACTACCCGCTGCGAGGAGGCAAGGTAAGCGACTGGGAAGGTGGCTTGCGGACGAATGCTTTCGTCTCTGGCGGCTTTGTGCCAGAATCCCGACGAGGCACCAAGTTTGAGGGCGTCATCAACATCGCAGACTGGTACGGGACGCTCACAGAGCTGGCCGGTGTGGAGATGAAGGACCACCGAGCCGAGGCAGCCAACGTATGGCTGAAGGAACAAGGCCTTCCCTTACTGTATCCGGTAGAGAGCGTACCGCAGTGGCAGAACATCCTCCAGAACCGGAATGGCAGACCTTGGCCCATTCATCTGAGCACCTACGCAGTCATGATGTGGCCCTACAAGCTGGTCATCGCGCAGCAGCCCGTCGCGGCCTGGACCGGGCCGGTTTATCCCAACTGCTCCACGCTGGAGAGCGTCCAGAGCCACCCTGCCTTTGGAGCACTTTGTGTTAAAGTCTGGGGTTCGACCTTTGAGTTGGGGTTTACAGGGGGCTTACGCGCACTTGAGCAGGATGCTGCGGTTCAAGCTTTGCATGTTCGAGCGAGTCACGCTCTCTTATGGTAAGCTTGAAGCTAGACTAAGACTTCTGACTGGCTTGCCTCGACCTCACTCTCAAGCTGGAGCCCCCCTTCTAACCCTAGGTCAACACGGGCCAAAGATGAAGCTGGACCATTCTGCGCTGCCAACGGTCATGGACAGCGAGAGGTGGTCTCTCGGGGCGAGGGCACGTTAGGAGCACGAACTCTTTTCTTTTTGCAGGAGGGAGGGTTAAGGTGGCCGTCATGGGCAGTCCCATTTCTTGCCTGTACCCAGCATTCCTGGTTTTCGTGTAGGGACTCAACAGCTGAGGCTTGTCGATTGCAGTGGCTCGGATCCAATTCCTCTTCTCATGGGGCGTTCCTCCAGGGCTTAACCCCTTCGCTTCTGAAAAAAGGGGACCCCCTTGGTTTCGCAGCACCGTTTTTTTTGATCGGAAGCCCAGTGCCAAGGTGAGGGTTGCCTGATGAATGTGAGGGATGATCCGACGGAGCATAGGAACCTGGCCGGCGATCCCGAGTACGCCTCCACCTTCGAATACATGCGAACGACCCTGTCGCGCATGAACGAGGACCTCGAAAAGTTGACCAAAATCTCGGCTGGTCACATGGGGCTACATACAGAGTCAAAGCCGTGCACGAAATCTTCGTGCACAACGGTATACCTTCTCAGTACAGAATACGGGGCATGTAGGTCTCAACATGTGAGTTGCAAGTGCTCTCAACAGAGCACATCCTCGAATCGCGGGCCTCTGTGACCCCCCAAAACATCTTGCCAGCACGCAAGGACGTCTTCTATCCGGACCGCGGCAAGCCCAGGGTGGAGGCTTGTGATGTGGCCATCGAACATGGGAAGCTGGGCGGATTTTTTCAATGCTCTGCAACGCTTACCCCCCTTATAAGGCCTCCAAGCTTGCAAGTCTTCCAGAGTGTGCCAGAGTAGCCAAGAGGGCAAGCACGAGCCTTTAATCCGAACCCCCAAAGAGTTCAACACGGAGGATAATTGATTTCAAAGTTTCTGGATTCCGTCTGGGGGTGGGGGGGGGTGGGTGCACTACCAAACCGTGTGCAATTTCGTCATGCGTGTGTGTGTGTGTGCGCGCCACATGTCCAAGAAAAGGAAGACGTTCGGCCCCTTTCTGGATACCGATGGGTTCTACAGCCCGGAGTCGAGGACAACTGTTGGCTTGGAGGATGCTGTCCTTCGAGCCACCTTACATACCTTGAACATCACCAAGGTAAAAGTCATAGAAATCACTCAGATGATGAAGGCACAGAAGAACCTTGAGTTCGATGCGATTGACACGTGCACGAAACGACCGTGACCTCTTCAACGTCTTGGGGCACATCTGGCGGCGCGCGCCGTCAGCCGCCAATTCCCGGCCGATGTCTGAGACGCTTGCGGGTACTTGCGCAAAGCGTCTCGGCAGCTCGGCACCTTTCAGGCGGCGAAAAGAACGTGAACTGATGTTGGCACATGTTGGCACTCTTTCCCCTCGAATTGTCGCCATACCTACATAGTGAGCTTAGTAAGCTTCATCTCACTTTTGTGGCTGATGGGAAGCCCCACGCAACTTGCCATCTTGCGGTCTGTTCAAAGCTCGGCCTGTGGAGCCCGCGGTGCCTGCCGGGGGGTGGGGGGTGTGCGGACTCAAGGCTTATTGGGCTTACAGGGCTTATTGGGCTTTACAGTGGCTGGCATAGCTTCGTCTTTCGGGTTTTGAGCCATGACTTCACCTCCGCTGGCGGCGAGCGGTGCAAGTCTCTGCGTGTCCGCGAAGCTCGGCTTCAGATTTATCATATTATTGCACTTGTGAAACTGCTCGGGTTGAGAAGGGTTCAGGGTCTCTTCAGTGCTCATGGGAGGGTTTGGGGGTCGTTCAATTTTCGTTGGGTTTGGGAGGGAAAGAAGAGTCGGTTCTAGTTTAGGGACTTCAATGATCAAGGCTTACACGGACCCTCTGCATCCTGTTCAGCGGGAGCGCTGCGTAGGACAAACTTTGCTGGTGCCGACGCCGGTGCAGTCTTTTTTTTGTTCACAATGGTCGGTTTTTCGAGTTTTTTCTTATACATCGCACTGAAATCCAGAGCAAAAGCCTTTCAGCCTTCGAGGTGCTCTCCCGCCATGCTGCCAGACGAGAGCATAGGTCAACGCATCCTGCGGGCGTGCCGCGAAGGCCAGGGCTTGCACCTCAGGGCTGTCACTAAACGCTGTCACTGAAGCCGCGTTGAGGCTAATTGTTCCCCATCTTTGGAGAGGCGGCCTGCCCGACCCCCCGAAACCATACCCGATAGCACCCTAAACCCCAAAAAGGCCCTAAACCCTCAGAAACCCCTAAGAAGACTCCCGCCACCCCCCCCCCCCCCCCCACCCCACAAGGAAGGCAAGATAAGGCAAGCAACGAAAAGCGTTGTCAGCAGGCGCTTCAGAACCCCTGGATGTGGTACTCCGAGCCACTGGGCCCAAAGGGAGTTGGGAAGATCTGGCAGAGTTCAGGGAGTTAGGTGATGAGCAAGGGTTTGGGGGTTGTTTTTTTTTTTTTTTGGGGGGGGGGGGGGGGGGGGGGGTTTCGGCTTGATAGGCTGTAGGGAGGGGAGGGGTTTTGTGGGCTTAAGGTGCTCTAGGGCTTGATTGAAGGTTTTTGGCGTTTTTTTTTAGATTTTTTCCGGCGGGTGAATAACTGAGGTCTGAGTCGAGGTCCAACACTTAAGGCTTCCTGAACTTTGAGTTTTGAACCCAGGCGCATGAGATCCCAGAGAGTGCAGATGTCCCGCCAGGAGTCCATATCGCAGCTCCATCAGGCGGGGGCTGAGAGAGGGCTCGGAGAGGTGTTCGAGTGACCTTGTGCAGTTGAGCGCGGTCTCGAGCCACATCACCATCGAACCCTGAAGACGCCCGATCATGACCTTGAAGCATGAAAGAACTCGTAACCTGCTGGCTCGTCTGAATCCCCTGAAAACAAGACGCCATTAAGAATCCCTCATCTTGACCGTGGAGCTCTCAATCCTGAGGTCCAGGCCGCTCCTTATTCAGTGCCCCTGTCACTTGGTTGCGGCTCTTGTGCGAATTATCCCTTACATCCCTTACAAGCAAGACACCCTTGGAGAAGGAGACGGAGTTCTCCTCCCTCGGGCTGCGTTGCTGGAGAACGCCTCCTGGCATGCAAGCCAACCCCCAAGTCGCCATGAGGGTCTTTCTGAGCTCAGAGGTGTCAGCGCCCCCGCCCCTCGGTATCCATTGATTCAATCCCCGCCCCCCCCCCCGCCCCCGGACCCTCCATTGAGGGGGGTTGGTCTCTGTCTCTCCTTTTGGTTTTTAATAGGACCCTGTAACCGTAAGCAGTAGAAACTAGAAGCTTGGAGCAGCCGACTGCTCCAAACACATTCACCTGTCCGGGCCGGGTTTCTTGGTTTTCTGGCCCTGGGGTTTCTTGGGGTTCAGAAAATTGAGGTTAGCAAGACCGAGTAGCGCGTCCGGGAAGTTTATAAGGAGACCAGTCTGCTGGGTTTGGGGTTTGGGGTTTAGGGTTTATAGTTGAGGGGTTAGGGGTTAGGGTTTAGGGTTTGGGGAACCAGGCTCTGGATGGTTTACAACAGCCTGGCGGTCGCGGATCTGCCTGCGAAACTACTGACGCAGCATCTTTGGCAGGTGCGATCTTGGCAGTCGCACGTTCCTCTCACTACACGGCCTTCCATTGCGGCTCTCAGTTTGAGCCTGTGGGCTGGCTTTCTTGGGCGGTTTTCTCTAACTTCTTCAATGCACAAGAGCGTGACCGGACATGGTTCGATTGTTGAGCTGCGCTATGTTGGGCTTTACCGCTTCTTTGCACCACGTGTAGTGATTTCTTCAACTGTAAAGGGCACGCTTAGACTCCATGAGTTTTTTGTTGCTGAACCCCTGCGACGTGCAGGCATTGACCCTGTACCTCCGGCAGTTGGAGATGGGGCGCGCGGACGCGGAGTGTTGCGAACACTTACTGGCTGCACGGCGGCTTCAGAAAGTTGTGCGTGGAGGATAGCACGCCGAGACCTGATTCTCCAACACACGCTGGCCCTAAAGATGCTAGCTTGTCCTTGGGTTAGGTCAGCCCCCCACGTGGGCTTCGGCGTGGTGGTCAGGGTGCACTATTCCACTTTTTGCTCGGAATGTACGCAACTGCGCATTTCCAGCTCAACACCCCTCAGCTCCCCCAAAATCTTGTTGGCCCTAGAAGAACCCTTTTCAAGGCCGCTGCAGGGGCTGTGCACGGAAAATGGGCCCGAGCCCTGTCGGACGCGGGGGTTCTCGCGCTGCAGGCCAGGACGCTTGGGATCCGGGGGGGGATGTTTCTTGAACACCTTGCCTTGGAAGCCTTGGGACACCGCAAACGTTAAACACAAACGATGAGAAGAGCACCGTGGTGTGTCTTTTTGGGAGGGCGAGTGGAGCAGGCACAGGGTGTCAGGGGAATACCGGCTCCAGGCACCGGTCGGCCGCAGGCTGAAGCGGCTGTGCATCTATACTCCTCGACACCAGAGACCCTTTTGTAAAGGCATCGTACCTCAATATCCTAAGCCATCCAACCCTGAACAGATCACACGACAAGTGGACAGAACAAAAACAAGCGGATACAAGAATTGGCAACTGAGGTGACTATGTATATGCTATTGCTAGTTCAGTAGGGCGCGGAAGCAGCAGCATCAACACTCTGTTCAACTTCTAGGACGCTCCAATTGCATGTGCTGGACGGATGTCTTCGAATCCTTGTGAGCACGCTCTTCAAGCAACAACTGATTCCTACGGTAGCGAGGGGTCCCTAAACCCTTACATATTAAAACCCGTGGCATTGGAGGAGACGATGCAAGATACGCTTCCGGAGTGGCTCAATGCTTCAAAGGCCTTTGTCACTTGTCCTTGGAGCAGATCAGCGAGCATCCAGTGTCACCAGAAACCCATGGGTATATTATTAGATGCATATATGTATGTATGTGTATATGTATATATGTATATATGTATATATGTATAGATGTATAGATGTATATATGTATAGATGTATATATTGTATATATGTATATATGTATATATGTATATATGTATATATTGCTATTTGATCATATGTATATATCTATATATATATATATATAGAGATCATATTGTATCATTTATTTGTTTAGTTTGCCATTATATTATTACATATAGATATACAGTTTTGGTATGGGTTCCCAAGACTGGGGTCAGCCTGGTCCTCCAGGTGCTAGTATGTGCTTCCCCACCCTGCAGCAGGAGGAAGCGGTGGACTTCCTGAGCGCCTGGGAGGCAGAGCGCTTGCGGCGCGAAGCGGGCGTCATCGGCCGGGCTCCGAGCGCGGGGGGGCCCTAAATACCCTAAACCCTGTATAAAGCCCAAACCCCAAACCCTAAACCCTATAAACCCTAAACCCGTGGAGGGAGAAGGTTGCCAAAGGCCCCAAGCCGAAGTCCGAGGCAAAGACGCGGAGATTCGCTCCAAGTCCGTGGACGGCGACGATGTGGCCGAAGCTCCGCTCAAAGCCGGTTTCAAGTCGAAGTCTACAGCTATCCATCGATACTACATACATACATATATATATATGTCTCATTATCTATGCACATATTTATATTTACATTTTTGGTGTTTATTCCATATGCGAGGTAATCAAGGCGAGACAGGTCAACCCTCCCACCTCCAACTCAGCACATGAACCTAACACAAGCACGCACACGTGCACTTTTTCGACTTTCAACTTTCGTCTGACTTAGGGCGAGGTCGCACTGATAGTTGACATTGACGCATCGCGCAAAGCAAGCAGAGAGATTCGGCCACCTCAACCACCTGTACCACCAGGCCACTGGGGGCCGGAAGGGACATCCAGTGCTTTGACTTTTTGTCCTCACAGCACAGGAAACGGAGGGGCTGGATCCAGACTGCTTCCGCTTGGCCCCTCAGCTGCCTGGACGATACTGGCCGTGGCATGCAAACGTTGCCGCAAGATTCCCCAAAGCTGCCAGGAAGCTCGCGGCTGTCCGGCGAGTGCTGATGCTACCCTGCATCCGCCCATCCCTGCTCGCAACTGTCGCCTTCTGCAATTAGGCATTATTTTGCAGGATTACCAAACCAAGAAGTTCGAGAGCAGCTCCCTGCGTCCCAGCCCCCCAAATATTCTGCTCAGCCCGAGGCCGTGCGGGTCGCATGTTCGGGTCGGACCGCTTCCTGATGCTGCGCATGGGCAGGCCACGGAATTGACTTCTGGAATTGACTTCTTGGAGGCGAACTTGAGGATCTGTGCTTCTCTTCTACGTGTTAAGCACCCTTCGGAAGAACGAAAAGAAGCTGCAACACCATTATGCAAGAGTGGCAACTCTGGGCTCTCTGTCGCGTAGACCCTCCCCAATCTTGCAGGCTCCGGGCGCCAGAGCAGTTCAGCTTCCTCGGGCGCTCGTGGCGTTTCCTCTACTGGAAGGCGGAGAATGGATTTAGGGTCATATCCCAATAGGATTGTAGTAGCACAGGGCACAGGGTTTCTGATCCCAATTTCAGGGTTCATTTGGTGCCCAAGGTTTCCCCGGATGACCAAGCCTTTGATTTGAATGTAGGATGCCTTTATTATACGATTGATGGGGTTTCTGGGGCACATGCTCACGATTCAAGCTACCAGGGCACATTCCCCACTTCACGCTACTCTTGGGAGATTGCTACCGTTTTTGGCGGCGTTTCGTGCTGCCCACTTTGACAGATTCACCCCTGGCGTTTAACGTAACTCATCCAATCGGCGCCGGGAGATACCCGCAGTGGTGTTGAACCATGAGCCGGCCGAGGCCGTCAATCTGTCGGTCCAACAGGTTGCGGAGTCGCTCCGGAGCGCCAAGCGAGGGTCCACACCAGGCCTTTCGGGGGCACGGTTGACCACTACTAGTACAAGTTGCTCCTCGACGACCCGGCGCTCGAGCTGCTGGCTTTCGCCGTCAACGGCTTTGCACGGGCTGACGTGCCGTCAGCTATCGTTGAAGCCCTCCCCCTGTCAAGGCTGAATTCACGCTGCTTTGGGCTCCGGGGGCTCACGCTACTCTTTTGCCCGGTCTGGGCTACCCACTTTGATGCATGTTCACGCCGCTTTCTCCCGGTGATTCACGCCAATTATTCCCTTGCCGGATTCACGCTACTGAGTTCTGCAGCCCCGGCGGCTTAAACCCGTTCAGCATCTGGAGTGCCCAATATCCTACGTAGAGGTCATCTGGCCAGTCCAAGCCCTGAAACATCCTTCGGCCTGCCCGAAGCATGGCATTGAGCACCAGCGACATCATGGGGCTTTGCATGAATCCGGAGAATGTTAGTTTGGGTGTGGGTTGACCATGATTGACCTCAGCCACACCTCTCACAACTCGCAACTTACTCTCTTGACTAGGTGCCGGACCAGATCACCTACTTTGCAGAGAAAGGCTTCGGCTTGGAGGAGCGAGTTCAGTTTTGGATTTTTTTGGGGAAGGGGGGACGGGGAGCCGGGAGCTTGCGGCGTTAGTTTTCAGGCTGCCTACAGTTTAAAGGGGACAGCTCAAGGGGCCTTCTGGTTTTGAGGTTTCGATTTGCATGAGGGTACAAGTGGACCTCCGATCCTCATTCCGCACTCACTCCACCCTTCAGCATCGTCAGATGCCATCGCAAAGCGCTCTACATGGTAGTGTTCGAGTTGACTTCGAATACGAACACACGCCCTGGCAGTAGTGCCACTTAGAGGCACACACAGATGACGAACGCCCCAAGCAAGACCGGAAGGACTGCACTGTGAAAGCGGTGTGGGACGAGCTGGTTCCCCTGGAAGCCAATCAGGACGCCCGGGAGTTCTGGTGCTCCTCCGGTTGTATTCTCACGACAAGAGCTGCGAGACTGCCGGCGACTGTACTGCTGCTGCTGCTGCTGCTGCTGCTGCTGCTGCTGCTGCTGCTGCTGCTGCTGCTGCTGCTGCTGCTGCTGCTGCTGCTGCTGCTGCTGCTGGAACCCGGCGCCTGTATTGTACTTAGGTTCAGGAGTTGGAGGAGCTTAAAGGGGCAGGGCTTGGAATGTGGGCTAGACCTAGACATGGCCCTGCAGCTGAAATCAAGAGACCGTGTTGTCGCGATTCTTTTCTGCCCCATTGCCCTGCATTATTTTGATTGCGTCGTGGACACGTCGGGATACCTTCATAAAGGAAGACACGCATGCTGCCACACCAATGTTGAAGGTTTAACGGCTTAACGCCTGCACCTACGAGTTCAGAGTTGCGCATTCAAGGTCAGTGTGTAGTCGCAGCCGTGCATACTTGTTCTTGCCTGCGCAATCAAGGTGTATAGAAGAAAAGAGATCATGACTCAGCACTTGGGCGCTATTTGCAGAAGCTTTGCAGGACATGACTCTTTGCAAATTCAATCAGCGGCTGCAGCTCTCGTTTTCCGAGACCCGGGCGGATATCTGCTTGGCCGTTCGCGAGGAAGATGACCTTTGGGACTCGCAAGGATACTTGGTTTCGGACTCAAGCCGCTGCAGTTGGGGGGTTGAGGGGTTGAGGGGGAGGGTGGAAGTGGGTCTGTCAGCAACTGGGGGCCTATGGAATTGAAAATATCAAAATGAATGCGCCGTGCTTGTTCTGGCCAGTTGTTTCAAGAGCAGTTTGGGGAGAAGTTACAAAAGATGAGTGTATACCTTAGGCTTGCCTTTCGAGCAAGAAGCAGGGTGCGACCCAGACAAGCCCCGAACGCAGCGCATGGGTTCAGGGGTTAGAGGGCAAACTCCAACCCAACACCCTAAACCCCAAGCCCTGAACCCTAAACCCCAAGACCCAAAACCCTAAACCCCAAACCCCTTAGGACGCTTCTGCCTTTCCGATGGCTGCGGCTGCATCTCGCCGAGGGCGGCGGAGGCGGTGGCCGCCAAGCTTGGATTCGATGAGGTTCCCTGTGCCTTCCAGGCCCGTTTGGTTGTGATGGCACTGTAGAGATGGAGTTGCAATCCATTTTCACAAGCGGCATATTGCGGATTACATCAATCGTTCGGATGCCAGTACTCAGGTACAGAATTGCACAAGCAAAGAGGTGAACTGGAGTGAAGTTTATGCTCGCCCCTGCAGAGTGACTATAAGCAGCAAGTGTCTGAAAGGCACAAAAGCAGCAGAACTTTAACGGAGCTCCCCGAAACGAATCCCCCAATCCACAGAGGCCCGCTGCGGCCCCTGGAAGGGCCTCTGGGTCCTGGACCCACAGCTGCCGCCAGGTGCCGGTTGTGGGGCGGATTCTGGTTGGTCTACGCAAGTTCTTATAAAACGATGTGGACCAAGATGATCCATGGCGTCATGAGGGTGGTCGAGGCTTTCATATGCTTTCATGTAGATGGCCTCGGATGGTGAAGTTTTCCTACGAGTAACTGGCAGAACCCGGCCACTTGGTGCATAGCATCCATGTGCTTAAAAGCCTGAGTCCAATGCAGGCTCCGTAAAAAAAGGTTCTTCGTCCTCCTAGGAATCACTTACGGTGTGAGGCCGCAACCCTTTTTCGGGGCTTCACGCCTCTCTAACCCCCGGGGACCGAGAAGAGGAGCCGGCCTCATCGTCCGGCCGTCGCAGAAGAAGTATTGCGGCCCGGTGGCAGAGCCGAAGGTTTTCGCACAAACGTCGCTCCAGGGCTGCGGGCGGATGTTGGCCTGACATATGTTTTGCGTTGCCTGCGTTGATCAGTGAGGCAATGCAAAAAGGGTTGTTGATGCTGCCAAGTGCTCATTCACTTGCAGCCTTGCAGCCAATTTGTGTCTCAGCGCAACGCCGCACATGATTCAAAAACAAATTTGAAGTCGCGAAGTCTTGAAGTGCTCAATGAGAAAGCGAGCCTAAAAGGGTTTGAGGCTCGAGAGACGTTCTTGGGAACGCTCTTTTTGGAACCAAGGGAACTGCCTCGAATCGTCATGGGCTTTTTTCGCCCTTGCCGACACTTCTATTTGCAGAAAAGGTCTGCTAAGCGACACGCAGCTGGAAGACATCTCCTTCGAAGTGCTCAACACATCTACGAGACACCTGCACTGCTGCCTGACTGCCAACTCGATCCAGGCACGACCCGGGGGGCGTTCTTTCACACTTTTTGAGAGTTTTCGGGGTTTGGGTTTTGGTGGTGGGGTGGGTGTACAGGGTGTAGCGCTTCAGTGATTCAGCAGGCCTTGAAAACCCCCTTCAGGCTAGGGGGGGGGGGGTGGGGAATGAGGGAATGTCGGCAGTCTACTCTTGTTCAACGGCATCCGGATGAAGTCGCCACAAACTTGAATCGGACAAGGCACTGGGATCTGGGATCTAGCAGCCCATCACTCTGCATCAGGCATCAGGCACTTCAGGACACTTTATGCTGGGTGAAAGTGTCACGGCACAGTACCACCTCGGTGATCAATGGCAATCACGTACTCTTGGCTCAACAACCTCCCCTCTGAACCCTAAAGGCCCTCAGGTACGAAAAGGTACTTAGAAGGGACTTCAAGGTACGAAAATGTACTAGAGGGTACAGAAAGGTACCAAAAGGGTACGAAAAGGTACCGAAAAGGTACTAAAAAGGCATTAAAAGGGGAAAAGCTGCACATCAGATCCCCCCAAAGCCCTAGCGAAGTGCCGAGCCACTGGCCTTTCCAGCGAGGCCTTGGAGAGCCTCGGCGTGTCTCAGGAGACCTTCTCGAAGCTGCAGCAGGCTCCTGCAGTCAGATCTCTATCCCCCCCTTTAACAAAAAGGTTTATATTTTTTTTATTCAGGTTCTAAGGGGAGTATAGAGATGCCTGTTTTGTTGAAAGGGGTATCGATTTTTTTTTTTTTGGGGGGGGGGGGGGGGGGGGGGGGGGGGGCGATTTGAGGGATTGGGAGATTCATGTCTGAGGCTCCTCAATTAGCCCTTAAAACCCAAACGCACCCTCCAAGCGAAATGCAGGAGGTGCTCGAGGCCATGGCTCCTCTGCTGCAGGCGGACCAGGCACGGGCCTGATGTGGAGATCGGGAATGCCGGATTTTTTAAAAGGGGCTTTGCTGGGCCACTCCGGGAGCTCCGCCTGCTTAAGCCGGAATCCATGCTCTTCAAAGGCGAAGGCCGCCTCAAGCCCAGAAGTGGCACCCGGAAGATCTTGAGCCCGGAACCCGCGCATCAGACTCCAAGAAGATGGTCGAGAGTCAAAAAAAGGCGGGTGCCTTAATTCGTTTTTGCGAATTCCAGCATCGGCAGGGGGCAGGCTATGTCGCTCTCGAGCAGCTGCTGAATGCCCAAGTCATCAAGGCGCCACTTTCTGGGTAGTCGGTAGTTCTCTCAATCATAGGGTCCTCTTTTGGGGTCTTTATGATACAACGGGACCCTGATTGGGAAGACTGCGCTTCTATTGCTTCCAGAATGCAGGATCTTGTGTCCGTGCGCGCTTTCGAGTTCCTATAAAGGGCGTTGGAGGTCAGTGTTCTGGCATTCTGTGAAAAGTGCGCGAAAAAGCAAAAGCCAAAAGCTCGGCCCAACACTTCGTCTCGCACGCAGCTGAACTCAAGCCCCAGCGTCGCTCCAGAAGGTCTCTCAAAAGGACTGCAAATATGGAAGTAAAAAGCCTAAAGTCCTAAAAGTCCTAAAGCCTCAACTGCCCGAACCCTACCAAAAAGCCTGCATAACTATAAACCCTAAAAATAACTTCAGACCCCGAAAGCCTTTTGGGAAGCTGAGGCCGGGCTCCAGAAGCCGCTCCAGGCCTTCATCGACTTGAAAGCGCCTCCTGGGAGCTGGGGTTGGGTTCAGGAGTTCTTTTGAGGAGTTCTTGTGAGGAGTTCTTTTGAGGAGTTTGTGAGGAGCTTTTGAAAAGAGTTCCTGAGGAGTTCTTGTGAGGGGCTCCGAGGTCTTGGGGTTTGAGGGGTCTGCGGGGACGTGCCCTTGATGTGCTTCGGGCTGTGGGTGTGTGATGTGTGTGATGTTGCCTCTTCAATTCTGGAGCTCGGCAAGGGCAAGCGACCAAGCGACCAAGCCCAAGATTACACCGAAGCGTCGATCAGTCCGACTAAAATCCCTGTGCACTGCGGAAATCGGCCCCTGAGGTGCCCTGGCAGGAGCCCAACTTCGTGGACCTCCGCTTCCGGGTTTGCACGGACCTCCGCCGTCGCGCCACAGAGGACCTTGATTTACACAAAACCTTATAAACTCTGTACTGTTAATAGTATCTACTCTACACTACACTTGCTTTGGGAGAAGTCTGTAGGGAGCGAATAGAGGGTTCATGGCATCACTTGTCCCATGCAACAACGTCTCTAGGGGCGAGCGCTTCGAGTCCACTGTGTTCGACCGCAGGTTTGGCTTAAGCATCTGTGCACCCGGTTAGTTGTTTGGGGCCCGTTTTGTAGTTAGTGTATGTGCCATGATGCATCTTGCCTGATCTTTGGGGCCAATCTTGCTTTGTGTTGGTGAGCAAGAGCAGAATGAGGCGTGGCGTATCCTGCTTGTCCTTGAGTCTTCTCCTCACATCGAAGAGGTTTCACAGCCAAGGCAAAACCCGCCAAGTGAAGCTCTCTTCATTACCGGCCTCCCCAAAGACTGCACGAACGACTTCGCCAGATCCATTTTTGGTCAGTATGGCACGGTGACTCGCCAGCCTGAAGATTCAGAGCAATCACGTGCCGAAAAGTCCAGGCACCACACTTACGAATGCGCAACATTCAGCTCCCAGAAGGGCGGCCCGTGCAATATGACCTAAACCCTGATATTGGGTCCTGTAGGCATGGCTCTCAGTAGCTTAGACTCTCATTTTCCTGAGGATAAGATGCCATATCTTCATTGCCCACAATCCAAGGTGAAGGACGTGAACGTGCTGCCAGTGCTCGCAGGCAAAGAGGCTGCAGCCGCCATCGTCGCGCGGCAGGGGAAGTTAGCACAGCGGAGAAACTCAACCCACCTTCAGCCCAATCTCTTGAAACTCGTGGCTACAGGGGAGCCCGGAAGCTCCATGGGTCGGCACGCTCTAGAGTTTCCAGCGTATACGAGGTCACGATGACCACGGTGGATGATGCCAAGTGGATCGTGGAGCATGTGAACCTTGGCAGGTTGCGGATCTCTGGGCGCTTGCTAGGTGTCGGGGCCTCTACAGGAAGGGAAGCTGCAATATCCCGGCCTGTAAAGGGTGAATCCTGAACCCTGTATTTGTCCAATCCAACAACTGCACCTAAAGTTGCCATAAAGGTTTTTGGAGCTCAAGTCTTCAGAGAGTCCGCCTTATGAAATGCCTTCTGCTGGCTTAGAGAGGGAAGCTCTCCTTGAGCCGAACCACAGCGACTCGGAATCCTGAAAACCCCCCCCCCCCCCCAGGCCGAACCCTCCACTCCCCCCCCGCCGAATCCTCAACGCCCCCTGAGCCGAGGAACGGCAACGTTCCCCAGAGCCTGGTCTCCCCCGTGACTTGGGCTCTTGGCACTCTTGGGAGAGAGAACAAGAGAGAGAGAGAGAGAGAGAGAGATATATATATATATATATCTACGCCCATGTGGCTCATCGTCTGGTGTACAACAGAAAAAGAGCACCCCATGTCTTATACTGCAGCATCCGCGTGTTGAAAGGTGACGGTCCAGTTTGCCATGCCAAAGTCGAACGGCAAGGGCGCGATGCTCAAAGGCGAGTGAGGGCTTCTAGGGCCTAAGGCTTTTTCAGGGGCTCCGGGGCATTCAAGTTGATTCAGGACTTTCTGTTTTTTTATGGAATGAGCATTGAGTTGTACCGAATGTTTGGATCTATTGCGTCAGGGCTTGAGGCTTGAGGCTTAGTCTCAGATGTCCAGAACCATGACAAAGCAACACCCCCTAAGACTGGACACCCCTGAACCAGGATCGCTACCCTCAATCATTTCATGCGCACGTGCCAGGCATGGGCATGGGAATGAAGGGCGGTGGCGCCCCCGGCGGTGGCAAAGGGGGCATGATGGACGTCGCCCGACCGCAGGGTACGGCAAGCAGCCATTAACCTGACAGAATCCCCTTCACTAAGTATTTTGGAGCCACTGGCTGCGTATCCTTTACAGTTCTGCTTGTACTGTTTTGTATGTAGTGCTTTAGGGCTCAGGGCTCCTCTCTGAAAGCCCTCAAACTGGCGCCCTATAGGTGATGCAGCTCCTGGTGAGCGCGCTTGGCGGGCTCGGCGGTGGCGCCGGCGGCATGGGAGGCTTCTCAGACGAGTGGTAGCAGAACAAACCTGTATGCTAAACAGCTTATAGATAGACATGTATGCACATATGCATGTGTATATACATGCATGAAATGTATAAGATAATAATATATATGTATATATATATATATATATTCCATTTTGGACATTGGTGATCGGAATGTGCAGTTTCATGCTCTCAGTCAAGCCTGCGGCTGTGACCGTTGAGGCTTGGTTTTGGCTGGCTGTCTGCTTCCTTGTACTGGTGGATACGCGTAGAAATGGGAATAGAGACCCTACTTGGAGACCAATTATGACTGTACTTAGAACTGTACTTCTAACAATCTTGGGGTACTTAACAGGTTTATAAGTGGGTTACAAGTACAGTTCGAATTGGTGAATAAGTATCATGAACCTCCAAGTACTGCAAGTCCCCCCCCCCCCCCCCCCCCTGCAAAAGACTGCACAGGCGCAGGCGACTGGGGCGTTGGCGCCTGGGGAGGCGGCAAAGGTGGCTGGGGAGGAGGCGGTGGAGGCAAAGGCGCCTCCTCAAGATTTAGGGTTTAGGGTGTAGGGTTTAGGGTTTAGGCTTTAGGGAAACCCCAAGCAACGAAGCCCCGAACACCAAAGCCTTCAGCAAACTGAGGTAGGACTCGAGCCAGCACAACACCTGAGGGAGTGGGTCTTCGGGTTTGCACTTTGGATTCCATGGATTCGGGAAAAATGAAATTCGCCGCAATGGTCGCCTTGCCCCCGCAATCCAGGAAAAGGCGGTGGCGCACGGCCCCCTTCCAACAACTGCCCCTCCACTGGCATCAAGACGGTGTTCTCGAGGTGGTTCTGTTGTCTTGCTTTGGGGTCTTGGTTTTTGAGGCCACGACTTGGTCTCTCCGTCTTTGCAATTTAAGGATCTCTATCTCTTCTCCCTTTCTCGCACGTCACATGCATGCCATTTTCAGAGTGTGCCCTCAACCCTCCACCTCAATGGACTCTGCGGCAGCAGGGCTCTATAAGATACCCGAGACGCACGCACCCGGCAAGTTATTTCTCTGTGAACTTGCAGAGGTTGGAGCCGAGGGTAGAAGCACACTTCCGTTCTCCTGGCCCCCCTCACAGTCTGCAGTGAGCACCTCCTAATGAACTGGACCAATTAGTCACCACGGAAGAGCTTGCAAAGCCATCGATGCATGTCAGTCTCCCGCCCCCCCCCCCCTCCCCAAAACCGTGAACCTTAAACCCGGATTTAGAAAGAAGTTTCTGCAAGCATCTGAATCTTAAGCGTCTCCAAAACCCTAAGCCCCCCCCCCCCCCCCCTCCCTCAAAAAAGACAGTCTCCATAATCTGTATCTGAAGACTTCTACAGAAAAGTGCGGCGACCGAGGCCTCAGACTCCAGGGACTGCCATTCTCGGCGACCGAGGACGAGGTGACCACGCCGCCCCTGCCCCCCCCCCCCCCCTCCCCCCCCTGAATCCTCCAAGACTGCCCCCCGCCCCCCCTACCTTTCTGTGGAGTCCTAAGGTGGCTTTATAGCAAATACGACTTGTTACGAAGAAATACCCAGCTTCTTTAAAGACAGTTATACAAGGTGGACTCTTTGAACGTTCCTTGTGGATTCAAGGGGTCTGGGGGTCGAGGCCGCCCTGCAGCTTGGGATTGGGAGCGTTTGTCTGAAGCCGCGGGTGCGGCGCATCTTGAGCTTGAGTTGGCGGAGCATTCCAATTTTGCCACACCTGCTGCTTCCTGTGGTGGTTATTCCGACATCATGCTGAGTACCATACAGGCTCCGCATGTTCTGAGAAATTCCTTGGCGCTCAAACGTACAGGTGAGAGCGTTCTTCGCTGGCTACCAGATGACCGGGAGGATTCATCTGAAGGCCTCTCTAGACGTTCGGGTCGTATGGCAGTGAGACTTGAAGTACTCGACCTGGGATGTGAGATGGGTTGAGGTTCTCTTTGATGGGCCTTGGTCTGAAAATCGAAGCTTGGAAGCTGCAATTCTCTGCTCTACTCTGAACCTCGAGCCCTCAGTAACCGGTAGCCTTGAAAACACAGATTCTGGTTTCGAACCTTCTCAGCCACCCTAAACCCTATAAACCCTAAACCCTAAACCTCTCAAACCCTAAAGCCCTAAAACCCCAAACACAGCCCGCAAGATGGACGACTCCGGCCGCCCGTCGGGCATCGGTTTCGTGGAGTTCGTTTCTGCAGAAGAGGCCCCCCAGCCGTGAGTGACGCAGAGGGACGGGGAGGGTTGAATTAGGGGTTTCGGATTTAGGGTTTATAGGGTTTGGGGAGCTGTTTCTGTTCTGACGTGACCCCTTCCCCCCCAGAACACAACAAAGTCAAGGCTCTGAGCCGCCCCCCCAAAGCTGAGCCGGTTGTCCCTCAACACAACGCGCACACACCTTCCGTTAACACAACAGATTTTGCAGCCCTCTGTTGATAGAGGGCATTTCCCAAAATAGGCCAAACAGAATATACATTTCCAGGGGGCCGCCCGAGAAAGGGTACCCCCTATTTTTCGGAATCCCCCTCCTTTGAATTTCAGAGGCTAAGAGAGCCTACACTGAGAAGAACTTCCAGACGATCGGCACACGGTCTCTCAGTGGCAGAGTTCTTCCCGGGGCGGGGAGAGGGGGAGGAGGGGGGGGGTAAGGGGGCGGGGTGTTACTCCTCTTACATTGGGTGTCTTTCTTAGGAATGTTGGTGTCAGTTTTATGACGGTCTACAGGCTTATAAGGCTATAGGGCGTCCCAATAAGGGTGGGGGGGGGGGGTTCTGGTCTCAAAGAGATCTGAGAACTGAGGTACGTCGAGCTCATGGAGGCGATGCAACTCCACTGGCAATCAGCTAATTAGGGTTTAGGGTTTAGGGTTTAGGGTTTAGGGTATAAGGGTTTGGGAGTTTAGGGTTTCCTCCCAAGGGCCTCGGAAGAAAGCGGGGGGAACAACGGCGCGCCTCTCCCGGCTCCGAGATTGAGTTCACTTACCCCTCGAGTCCACTGCGAGTCGAGTCATTCAGAAGTTATATGCAGCTGACAAGAAGGCTTTACAAGAAGGACTCCAAGAACCTCGAATTTCTGACCCTCCACGGACATGACCCTCATGCAAGCAGGGGCAGCTTTCTTCGCCAAGGCCCAGGGATATTGACACGTACTTGAACCACGGCGGGATTCGACAGCTTGCCTATTGAACAGACAGCCTACCCCCCTGCCACTTGGTGCCGTTTGGACGGTTTGCGAGTAATTGGGGGTTCCTGTCAATCTTGTGGAGGTTGGGAGGGGGTTCGGGGGAGAGGAGCGGTTTTCAGCTTGCTGCAAATCTGGCTGTTATGGGAGAGGAGTTTGGGGACGACGCACGCTGCTCGTTCTTGTCGAGATTCTCTTGAGCAAAAGTGAAACAGACAGAGCAGAAGGGCGATCATGCCCACACAAATATTTTCATAGTCTCAGTTGTAGCTACCAAGTGAAGGGGCTCCACAGGATTCCCAAGATCGAGCTACAACCCAACTCCCAAGTCTGGAAGTCCCCCAGATATCTTCCTGGCTTAGCGACTCGTAGCAAAGGTGGCCTGCAGCCCCGGCCACCAAAGCCTCACTTAACCTTCACTTTATAGAACGAAGCCTTCAAAGCTCACAGGGCTCTTCGAGAAATCCATGAGGCAGCTCAGGATGGATCACAACTTCAAGCCATTGTGATTGCCAGTCCTGCTGTAGTGAGTTGTCAACCAGAGTGAGGGAAGCATGGTTCTTTCTGCTTTCAGATTGCTTTCAGCAAAGCTGTCTGCAGCTGATGACATCTGCCAGTTCTAAGCTACGAGTGGCAGCTAGCGATTCCGCGTATGAGCCAGTCCCGCTTTAGCGCATGAAGCGAACTGTGCGACACTCCAATTACAAGCCACCACACAGTTATGGCCGCCCCCCACAGACTCCAAGCTAGCTCCCCGGCACACGGTCGAAGATTGCTTCGCAGCGGGGCTGTGGCCTTTGGACAGAATGCACCTATCAAACGTCCGGTACACTTGCGGTACGAGCGTCAGAATGGGGAAAAAAGGCCTCGAGCTCGCACGATGTTTGCACGCTGCTCCTGCACTCCACCTGCAGCTAGAGTAGCTAGAGACCCCGGTTACTCAGTGCCCTCGAGGTGACAACGGGTTTTTTGGAAAGCCATGCTCTTGCAGACTCTTGCACTCTTGGACTCGGATGCTGCAGCACAGATTCTGCCATTGCTGCGAGGACCTTCGCTTGCCCTTGCTTCGTGGGCTGCGCTGCTGGATCGTGCCTTATCCATGTCGGAGAGGTGAGGGCAATGCCTCGGAGAGCCAAAGTAGCCTTCTAGGCACACGGACTGCCTCTCGACTCTAGCAGCCTCTAGCAGACTCTAGCAGCTCAGACGATTCTGCTTCTTCTTCTGAAGAGAGTCAGCGGGGAGTTCTTCCCGAAGTCCTCCCCGAGGTCCTCCCCGCAAGCGCGTGCTCGACTAACAGAAAAAGAAGCAATTGACACACTTCCAAGCCCAAAGTGGCACCATGCTCGATCGATCCCATCTAAATTCGCATCTTTGGTCTGGTTGCAGCTTGTTGCTCTTGCTAGGAGCGGAGTTCAAGCTTGGAGAAGTCGAAGTTTAGGGTCCGAGTAGTACGATGACCCAAGGCTTCACAAGGCCCGTTGGCGGCTTTAGAGGTGTAAAACAATGCGCTTCTTCACACCGAGGTTCCGGACCACACGCTAGGGCTTCGTGCTGGCGAGTGCTTCATCCAAGCCCCGCACAGAAGTGGCGCGCCATCCCTCCTGGGCAAGGACAGATCAGCTGAGCCCAAAGCCCAAAGCCCAAATGTCTGAACAAGACCCCGACACTTTGGAGCAGAGCTATAGTTCCGCACAGGCCCTTGCAAGTTCCAATAGTGTGGGACCTCTTGCTCTATTTGGTTTCTTACAAGTACCATACTGTAGGATAGAGTAGGGCGCTTCTGGCTTTGTGACCATCATGTTTGTGTCGGGCGTTCCATCTTCAGCTTTGGGTGGGTGGGAACTTGCACAAGAGATGCTGCAATGGTTCAGCAGGAGGTGGTGCTGATCCGCAGCCCATGCTACCACAACAGCGCAGTGCTGAAGCTGCGGGTTCCGGACGAGATACCGCCAGGCCCTGTTTTGCTGATAGAGCCTTGGGCGCTTAGGGAGTCATAGCGTTCCGGCATTGCAGTTTCGATCCGGAGGCAGGAACGTGCAATCGCGAAGCAGCATCTCTCGCATCGCTCCTGGCTACAGGCCTCTCACACATCGTGAACGTGGTGGTCTTGAACGCGTGCTCCTTGCGACAGCAGCCTGCAGATGCCGAGGCCCCTTGCCACTTCCCAGCTCTTAGTGCTCTTTCTCTTCCCCTTCAGCCTCAGTGCATTTTCTGAGCCAGCCTTCTCGGAGCTTATATTGCAACATGATATATAAAAATAGTATATACTATACTATAATATAGTATACTATAATGATATAGTCGAGTTAAGGCCGTCAATGGCCATGCAGACCGTGAGGTCATGGGTGGAGATCACGACGGAGACCAAGTGCTGGTGATCTGGGACGAGGAGAGGCTTGGCTCACTTAAGCGCAGCTCCACGTTCTTTTTGTCTATTTTGGGGACGACATGAGCCCTAAAAGGGTTTATGGTCCATATACCTTAATGGGGATTATAGTAGCATAGGGTACATGACCCCAATTTTCGGGATCATTTGATCCCCAAGGTAAGGGGGGCAAGTACTAACGTGGCATCCAAGCGCCTCTCCATCCCAAACCCCACCCGCCCGCAGCCTTTGCACATCCCAAAACCTGCTCTCCACACTCTGAGGATTGTGGATCAGGTCAGCCCTTCATCAGCACATGTGGAGGATGCCAGTGTTGAGGAGCGGGATCAGAAGACCCTCAAACAGGTGGCTTGGCATCCGCACTTGGATCTTGCTATACCGTTTGCAAAGGGCGACGTATAGCTGCCCCAAAATGGCCTTATCGAGAAACTTACAGATGGCCAGGCTTGAGTTTCGAGTGGCATTGGTGCAGCCTGATGAGATTCTTCCCTGTCAGACCTGGCGAAGTGCTGTATGAGCTGAGTATCGAATCCAGAGCCTCCAACCAAAGAAGCAAATGGCGCTCTAGGTCCGGGATCGAGTGGCCAAGATTCGTTTCACTCTTGTCCCTGTGCTTATTGCTTGGTACCTACTGCCTGTTGAACAGTATCGAGCAGGTTTGTTCATGTGTTTCCAGGTCTCTATGGAAGAGCTTCCGAGCTTGATGCTGGATGAGCAAGTACTGGCAGAGCTTCGGTGTGAAATGTGAAAGAGCAGAGGCCCGTAATAATGGGAGTATCTCCAAAATCCATAGTCAGGATTCCAGTGTTCATGTGGCGGTGGACGATAGAATGCCCTTGGTTTGAGAAACGAGGCGGCATGTGCCAACATCCCATGGCAACCATCTTGCAGGACAGACATGGAGATTTCCTAGAGGCAGATGTGTAACTCGCGAAAACTCCGAGCTCCCAAACCCGCGCAAGCTCTGAATCCTTGAACGCACCGAGCTACTGAGGCTCAGTCGCACAAAGCCTTCCGGGAGGCGGACAACAAGCGGAGGGATTGGGTCGATGAGGAGGGCTTCGATGGCGAGAATTCTGTCCGTTTCTTTGCCGCAAGTTCAGGAGTTGTGGGAGGCATTGTGCTCACGACGCGCGGAAGTGAAGAGCATTAAGTTCCCTGCTGCCCCCCCCCCCCCCCCCGCCCCCCTCATCATGCGACTTTGTGTTGTTGCCGCCGGACTTTGCTCCGAAGCTCCCCCTACTCGGGCCAGGAGGTTTTCTCCTCAAGTTCTTTGGAGCATCGTGGCCCCCTCTCCTTTTCATTTTGCTGCCAACCAGCGTCACCATCCCTCCAAGCCCGTCATGGAGAACTGCAAGCCTCTGGGAGAGCTTGCTGACTGCGTGAAGCAAATGCAGGGCTGTGTGGAACTTATGGAGATTTTGGGCGGGGGTGCTCATGGCGACACGTGCGATGCATTCGAAGAGCAGTGGGATCAGATGCTGCAACTGAACACGCGACTGCACGGCGCACTTACAGGTCAGTGTTCCCTGCCCACTCTGAAGTTCACCGCAAAGAAGGGAGGCACAAGTCTCAACAAGCAGGCTTTGCCTGCGGCTGCAGGCATCAAGGTGGTTCGGATTGTGCAAAATGGGACCAAGCACTCCAACAACAGGCATGCCACGAAGGAAATCGTCGAGTTCCCTGGCCACACGCATATCCCGACTGATGGCGATGAGTTGTCAGTCGTCCCGCTCCTGAATACGCTTCCAGCGATCAGAGCAGACGGCAACTGCCATGACCTGCTGCGACAATTCGAGGCACTGTACACCGTCGATGACTCGGGGAAGGTGACCGTAAAGCCCGGAACAGGACTTTCAAACTACTTCGACACCCATGCTAGAGAAGGTGTGGTCCTTGAGTGGCTTCCAGTGCGTTTGTACACATACCCTTTCCACGCTCGTCCTGCAGCTGTGTGCACGGCTGAACTTGCCGATGCTTTGCTCGAGCGTATTCGAGAAGAGCCGCAGTTCTGGCCTTGGTTTCAGGATCCGGAGGAGAACGGACAACTGGAGCTACGATACATGAACATGCGCCACACGTACGAGGTCAGTCCTGTTGCAGTGATCCACGGTGGATGTGGCTGGAGTGGCTTCTGGCAGATCCCTGAGCGCGGCACGACAGTCGTGTTTCCGGGAGACCGTCTGGTCTTCCCGAAGTCAGCCCACAAAGAGATCACAGACGCATGCTGCAGATTGGAAAAGCTGTCAGAGAACCAGGATTTGCAGCGGGTGAAGAAGAAGCCTGATTGCAGCATTGAGCCGGAGGCTGAAGCTGACTTCCTCCAGCTGCTCAATTATTTGATCCAAACGCATCTGGATGGCAATCTTCCACCGAAGACCCGGAGATCACAACCAAAGAAACCGACGGCCCTAAAGGCTCTCAAAGGGTGGAAGAGATGCTCTTTGAAGCTTTGGAGCCAATCACTAGACTCACCAGACGCATGATGCAGCCTACATCGGCGGGCGGCGCAGGAAAGCAGCTGCAGCTAACTTGAAGACTTCCTGTTTCCCAAAACCCTAAACCCTAAACCCTGAACTGCCCTGAACCCCAAAGCCCAACCTGCCCCAAGCCCTAACCCCTAACCCCTAAACCCTTAATGTTTGGCGAGGGGCATTCGACAGGTGGGGATTTTTCGAGATGTCCCTCCCCACCCCCTTCTGAGGTCTGGCTGCCATCTGCCAAGTGGGAGTGGACTGCGCCAGCAACGGTCGCCTCCCAGCTCGGTTTAGGGTTGAGGGTTGAGGGTTTAGGGTTTAGGGTTTAGGGTTTAGGGTTTAGGGTTTGGGTTTCGGGTTTCGGGTTTAGGGTTTCAGAGTGTAAAACCAGACCTTCTCCATGAGCCCTGAAGTCCTTGTACACCTCGAATCGCTGAAGGCCCTCGCATGAAGGCAAACTGCAATTCTGCCTTGTTCGCAGTCAAAGCAAGCCAAAATGCCTGAATGCCCTTCCTGTCGAACCGTGGATTTCGGATTGTGTCCAGGCTTACGAGGCTCACTAGACTAGTTTGGAGGTTCCTGCCATTTTGTTGAGAGGGCAATGGCAAGCAAAGCAAGCCATGTGCAACCAGTGTGCACTTGAACGTGTCGTCCTGCCGCATGTGCGCTGCTCCCGCAATTTGCACGGCAAGCAGCAGAGCCTTCAAAAGCCTAAAACAAGTTTTCGGGGTAGAAGCCCGCGCCTACCTTTTGGAGGCGTCAGCTTAGGCCGAGTTTAGGGTGTGAGGTGTGCTCTGGAGGGACGGCGAAAGGCTCGCCAGGAAGCTAGTTGCGCAAGCGAGTCGCGCAGGAAGGCATGGCAATGTTGCCGTGCAATATGTTAGAATTTGTGTTTCGCAAGGCTCCTTCTGACAGACGCTTGTCACCTAAACTCCTCAGGCACCATCGAGATCCCCGCGGAGTTGAGAAAGTCCACTCGTCCCGATTGGTCCTGCAAGAAGATGCAGCGCAACAACATGAGGATCTCTGAGAAGGCCCGATGCCCTAGTACAGGGCGTGGGCTGCAGGAGATACCGAAAGCTCTATAGACTCTAGAACCTCAACGACACGCCGGAGATGGAGCTGTTGTGGCATGTACGGGGTACTGCGGTGGAGCGAACAATAAGGGATCGCAAAGACAGCTTCTTCCAACAGACTGCCGTTCCTATTGGGAATGGGTGGGGGGGGCACAGCCTCCTTAGCAATAAGGGTCAGAACGAGTCTCTTCCACCAGCCAGGATGGCGCATTTAGAAAAAAAGTTAATAGACGAAAATTCAGAATCTGTGTCTGCCGTGTTCCTCCTTTCTAGACCCTCGTCCTGCGCTTTGCAACCCTCAAAGCCAACAGGCGTGCGGCCTGCTTTTCCGCCGGAAGGCTCGGCGCATGCTGTCGGGTTAGGTTCGGCAAGACTGAGGGTGAGCCCTACAGTAGCCCAAAATCAATGCAACGTGGTTCGGAACCGCTTGACCAGTGCCATCACAGGTTGAGTTTCCTTCCTTCGAGGAGGTTCAGTTCCTAGCACCCTGCCAGTTCGGATGCTTGGCCTGCCAACACTTTCTTTCTATTTTGGAGACTGCTAGCATTGCCAGGTTTAACTCAGCAGCAAGGCATACTTGCAGTCTTGGGGGCGACGTGACAGGCCAATCCACGAAGACTCTAAGAGACCTGACTTGGGATGTTTCTGGCGGACAGTCGCTAAAGGATGCGCTGGGCCCAGATGCGACCCTATTTCAGATGGCCCTTGTTTTGGTGCCCAAGGTGAGTAGTGTGGTGTTTTTTTTCTTCGCAGTCCCCCCCCCCCCCCCCCGCGCGCTCAAGGACTTCTGAACCAGCCAGCCGATCAGCTTGACCAAGCAGTTGGTCTGGTTCTGTCAAAGCTCCGGGACCTGCAGGAAGCCCATGGAAGCCCTGAACTGAGAACCGCAAGCCCTCTTGGGTTCAAGAGCGTCACAGGTCTTTTTCGGCTTTATCACGGGGTTCAACGAATTGAAACCCTCCTGGCCCTGTAAGACCTAAAGACGGTGCGGAGGTCGTTTCAGGCCCGGGTTGAGGAAAAACATCGCGTTCCGAGATGGGGTCACTTGAAAAACGCGCGCTGACCTTATGGCCTATGGCCCTTCTAGCAGGAGAAGACTGAGCGGATACATCACCGGGCACACCTTTGTCGACAGTGGCGCAACGACCTTCGCAAAGCACTGTTTAGGTGCCTCCCCGTGTTCTGGCTGTTGAGCACACATCTCAGCATGTCGACCTCGATTCTAAGAAACTAAACCCCTGCCTTTGTGACAAGGCAGAGCCGTAAGGAGCTGGAGGAAGACTTTGCCGAGGGCGTCTTTGGCACTCGGGCGGCAAATGGAAGACGTTGTGTGTGAGTTTATGATCGGGCTCGTGAAGACCTCCGGCTGGAAGCTGCAAACCCGAAGCAAGCTTGACAGCCTTAGGTGACCCTCAAGACTGGAGGGCCGAACCCGAACCCACAGGAGGCTTCTTTATATGGATGTCACCCGAAACCCTAAACTAAGGATGTTCCCCCTTCTACTAACAGTCCTCAGTAAGGAATATGATAGGCGGCACTGCAATCCCTACTAAGGACTGTTAGTATAAGCGGGAACATCCCAACCCTAAACCCTAAACCCTTTAGCCTAAACCCTAAACCCTAAACCCTAAACCCTAAACCCTAAACCCTAAACAGGGGTTTCTTAGGGGATGTCGAGGTGCCGCGGTGTACCTCGTGCAGCTGGTGGGTCGCGCGAAGGGAGCCGCGGAGGCGAAAGAGGAGGTCCAAAAGCCGAAGGCCTCGGTTGCCGTGTGGTTCTAAGGCTTTGGGTTGTTCGGGTTTAGTTTAGGGTTTAGGGTTTGGGGTTCAGGGTTCAGGGTTCAGGGTTTAGGGTTTAGGGTTTAGGGTTTAGGGTTTAGGGTGCTGTGGGTCCGTGGACCAGGCCCAGGCAGCCAAGGAGGCCCTGGAAAGCTTCGTGGCCGCCCTCTCCGCGCGGCCCTCTGGCCTGGGAGAGGAGCTCAGGGAGCTGCTCCAAAGCTCAAAGGCGCGCGTGGCTAGGGTTTAGGGTTTATAGGGTTAATAGGGTTTATGGGGTTTGTAGGGTTTGTAGGGTTTATAGGGTTTACAGGGTTTATCGGGTTTATAGGGTTTATAGGGTTTATAGGGTTTATAGGGTTTATAGGGTTTATAGGGTTTGTAGGGTTTATAGGGTTTATAGGGTTTATAGGGTTTATAGGGTTTAGGGTTAGGGTTTCCTGCCAGGCTTATGGGAATCAAATTGTTGTGTCACTTTTCATGCACCTCCATGTAAGATGGGTTTTGTGCTGTTTCGGGGCAGAAGTACTCCCACTCGCCATCGATTGAGCCACCTAAGACCGATGTGGCTTTGCTAGGGCCGAAGTTCGCCGGTGCTGCGAACCTCCGAGATTTGGCAGCTCTTCGGGGACGAGGTGCTGCAAACATTGTCACTTCGTCAGTGTTGGCAGAAATCTTGTTCATCTTAGTTTTGGGGTGGTATGGCCTTCAGGGCTTGGTAAAGGTTCTGAGTTTAGGTGATTATAGGACTTGAGGTTATGGCTGCTGGACTTGGTGGGTGAAGGGCCTCCGAAGCCCTGCAACCTAGAACACCAGCCGTCCCTCCACCGAGGTCCGCAGTGCTGCATGGGCCGTGCCCCTACCGCCCTGAGGAGAGCTTCCTCATCGACCCCACGGAAGTTCGTGTCCTGGCTTGGTTTGGGTTCTGGGTCCAAAGGCCGCTTCTGCAAGAAATGTCAAGATGCAAAAATGACCAACACGAATTGGTGCGTGCACAAGGGGACTCCCCCAAGGAGTGCTGCAAGTTGTCAATCCCCCCTAACTCACTCGAGCTGAAGTCAGCAAGTTCCAGGCACCGGTAGTTCCTGCAGTTCCGCAACCTCGAGTCTGGCACCTCACGAAAACATCAGCCTCTAATCCAGCACCTACTTGGTCACCTAGCACAAGCAGCCCCGAAACCCAAAAATCCAAGAACACAAAAAAAAGCCACACATGTTGCAGTCTCTTCCAGGCTTCTCCCATCCGGCGATCAGTCCCCAGTTCCGGAGTGGGCTGCGCCTGAAGGAGGCAGTAGAGCAGCTGCTGCATCCTGGTGAATGGTGGAAGGGCTTTGGGGACGCTTGTGATGTGGGTGTTCAGGCGTTCCCCCGTCATGTTGATGTTTGTTGCTTTTTTGTTTTGTCCTTTCCACTTTGTGTTGCCTGTCAGAGAGGCGCTTTTTGCGATCCCTTCTTGACTTCTGCTTCAGCTTGCTGAGGTTTATGTGGTGTTTTTTCTCTATGTGTACACCAGTCGTCTGATGATGTGGGCTGCGGCCGAAACCAAGACAACATGTTCAAGTTGCGTGGTCAAGGTTCTGTTCAAGGGGTCCTTGTGCCTGAGGGCTGCACCTTCGGGCAATATAGGATAGTTTGGGCCTGTTCCTGCTTGGAGTGCCCAGGCAAGGGGCCCGGAAGCGCGATTTCGGCAAGATTGGACCGCTGCCTGTGCCTGGGCAGCAAGTTGAAGCCATCTCTTTACTTTTGCCTCTCATTGTTGCACCCAACTAACTCGCAAGAGGAGGAGAGCTCTGCTTCTAGCATTGCTGCTCAGAGCGACTAGCCCAGCTTAGTGGTATTTTTCAAAAAACCGACAAGACTGGGCTGCATCTGCGTCATGCAAGGCGCCCTCGCTGTCGACATTGAGGGGGTGAGGGGGGGGGGGGGGGGGGGGTGGGGGGGGGGGGGGGGGGGGGGGGGGGGGGGGAGCCCAAAAACCGGATGCAAGCACACCAACGCACCGATGTGCCCTGAAGGACGATGCACAATATGTGCTTCATGTCCTAGGACTCCTATACTCGAGTTGATGCAGGGATTTTGTGGCTTTTCTGGGCCCCAGGGCGAGGGCGCGGGGCGACGAAAGGAGAGGCGGGAGCGCACGCTGCAGTCGAGACAAACAAAAGCACTCCCAAAAAGCAGCACCAAAGAATGCCTCCAAGAAGCCCCCCCCCCCCCCCCAAAAAAAAATGCATCCATTCCCTGTCAGCCCCATAGGTGCGATGGCACCGTGGCCACTTCCACACGATGGGCAACCGGCGTCTGGCTGTGTATCGGCTTTTCAAGCTGCCTGACGAGAGGAGTTTGTGGTGTAGCGTCTTGTGCTGTGTGCTGTTCTGTTGTGTTGTGTTGTGTTGTGTCATGTGCGCGCACGAGTTTGTTTTTTGTGTGCGCGTCCTTGAAGCCCCAAGCTCACCGAGAAGGCTTCAACAGCCGGCAACGGTTAGTGCTAGAGGTAGCTGAGGAAAACCAAGCACGTTCTAGGACTGGATTCGTGGTTCCGTGTGTCATTCAAGATGTTCGTCCATCATCTTTCCTTGGCGTCACCTTTTGTAGGGGGAGTCATGGCATTCATCTCTGAGCGATTTCGGTCCCTGCCTTTGCGGACAGATTCGTTGTTTCTGATTCTTAGCCATGTGCCCCGAGCTGTATGTTGCTTAGCAGGGCTCGTGTCACAGCGTCTGGTAGCGTAGTTGGAAGCGCTTCGCTGCAAAGGTATCTTGTGGGGATACGCACAGTACCCTTAGGATCCCAAGCGTGTCGCTCAAGGTTCCATCTGCCTCCCGACTCTGACCGCTGTCCGCTGATCCGTGCACGCAGAGCCACCTTGTCTGAAGCAGGCACTCTTCCCGGTCACAGCTGTAAGCAACGTGGGAGAAGGGTGTTTTTGCATAAGCAAGCAAGTCGAGTTGGAGGGCCATTCAGATCCCTTCCACACACATGAAAGAACAAGACTGGGCTAGACAGTAGCGGGCCCTAACAAGCCTCGAGCTCCTCCCCAGGTGAATGAGGCTGAGGCGCTCCGCTGGCCTTGGAACAGGAAGTTCGAAATTGACGAAACGGATGCTTGCCCGGAGAGAAGGCCTGGTGTGAAGGTTCTCTTGGCTTCCAGTTGCAAGGATGCCATAAACGATTCCCCGCACTACTGCGGCGGACTAGTGTCATTGGCATGGTATCTATTCTGAGTCGTTTGCCAATATTGAGATGCTGCATTGTTGCTGACGATGCAGTATAAACCCGGTGTGGCACCGGGATCTGAGTCGGTTCTCAAGCAAAGCTATACTCAAAAGCATGTTCAGACCCAATAATCTGGAAGGGCGCTTGTTGAAAAAAACACATGCCCCCGGCTGACAAAGGAGCAAGAGTCAAGACAGCTAAGGAAGGACGGCGAGTACGTGTCCGAGATTTTGACCAGGTCGCACCCCCCCCGTCAGCTCGTTGGGCAAACATCCCTTCCCACGGCGGGCATGTTCGGGCCAGCGTACCCATGTGGTATCAAGCATGATAAGGCTCTCATGAACTTGATGGGTTGGTGCTCTGGGGCGCTGAACTTCAGCAGGTTATCGGGGAGACTGCCAACATTGAGGAGACGACCTTTTCGATATGACCGGCACGCGAACGGAAGTGGGCCGATGGGGCGGCCTCGTTCTAGAAGTTCTCTGCCGGCACACAAGTTGTCGTTGCCAAGCTGGAGAAACGGCTTCAGAATTCAGATTTCGTTGCCAGGCTATACGTGAACCGCCTGTGATCAGCAAAGGCCCCGAATCCCTAAACCCACACTTGTCAATAGGTGTTTCCAAACATGGTCCCTACATACAGTCATGCCCACATTCGACGCATGACATGGCTACCAAATCTCAAGAGTTCCACAGTCCTGCAGGTCCCGTGTGCCTTCACCTTTCCGCTGATCAGCTGTCGAAAATGCCTGGCCTGGGCAGACCTAAGCTTGCCTCCCCTGGTGAATGCAGAAGCGGCAAGACATTCAGGTGCGGTGGCACAAATTCGGAGTCCCATGCAAGAATACGTAGCGCCACGGACGATCAGTTGCCAAGGATATGGGAAAAGGGCCTTGTCAGATGCAGGGTGGTGTGGGCATATATGATCAAGGCCTGCTCGGGCTTTCAAACCTCAACCCTCTCAACTCCTACGGGCTCTCGGGGGCTTGGCTCTCCAGAACATGCTGATAGTATGCAGTGCATCCACGAAGCATTGCGGCCTGCGCAACATTGCGCAACGGACAGGATGTCAGCATGTAGCGACCTTGACAGGGAATTGGTTCTGTCATGAAAGTCCACGCGCACGAGTTGAAGATCATGCTTCCTCTGAGCCAGTGTAGCACAACTTTGAGATCCATTGCGGCCACTTTTGGCCACGCCATCGTTGCCCCGCCCAGCTGCCGCCCGCTTCTGGGCCTCTGAGCGGCTCCGGCTGGGGCCGGGGTCCTGGGGCTGCCTGAAGGGAAGGGGACAAATGCACGGGAAGCGGCATGTTCTAGAGCATGAACTCGGGTCGCCACTAAAAAACCGGAACTTGGCTTCCAGCCATCACCTGCAGAAACCTCGAGCTACAAAATAGCAGTGGCCATTCAAGCCCTCTATGCGGCTCGTTTGGGAGGAGCTCCACAGCATTGCGTTTTTAGTTGGGATTGGTTGTTGGAGCTTCGGGTACGAAGACTGGACCTGTCCAGAGGGGTGCTCTAACAGGCTTTCTGGTACAAGGCAGTAGCAGGAAACACATGTTCCCGAAGCCCGAGCAGACTGCTCGTTCTTGCAGCAGGAACCATACAGAGAGTGTGTGAATGCCAACCCTTAGCCTGAAACTTGCCCAAAATCCTACAAACTTTGCAAAGCGTCTGCTCGTTTGGCTTGACCTTGCCTAAGGCCCCTTGGAGATTCGAACCCGAAACCCTCTAAACCCTAAACCCTTTTGGGCTTCGTCTATTCGGCGGCTTCGGGTTTCACATGCTTTCGTGGACTGCGGCGCGGGCGGGCGTCTTGCGGTCTAAGCATGCCCTATAGGGGCTGAACTGTCAGGCTTGCCGACGCAACCCCAAAGCCCTCAAATCCCTGAAGCCCCACAAACCTCATAAAACCCTCAGCCCAAAACAATAAAGAGATGCCTACACGTGAATTTTGTCGTTTCATGGATGGCCCCAAATCCTAAACCCTCAAAGCAGAAACGCCTTACAGCCTTAAACCCTAAACCCCAACCCCCACCCTTCAAAAGCTAGCCCTGGCCCTGCTCTTCAGGTGGCTTTCCTGAGCTATGTCGGCTTCGCGCTGCTGATCCTGGCAATCTAAGGGTTTTAGCGGTTTAAGGGATTGCTTCCCAAGGGAGATCGCCCGGTGGGCGCATCGGGGGAGTAGGCTTTGGGTTTGTAGGGTACTAAACTAAGCCCTAAACTCTAAGACTCTAAGTTTGGCTTGAATGTGCTCGAAGTATTCATTTGCAAAAGGGCAGCAGCGATCTGCTCGGTTGGCGGGTAGTCTTTTGGAGCGTCCGGGTTTCCGTGCAGCAGGGACATCTACTTGGATTCTTGACCCAAAGCTCCAGGTCCGGGATCTCTAAGTTAACCTGCGCCGCCTTTGCCTGGAGTGTCTGTCTTTGCCATGCGTGTCGGTCTTCGCTATGACCAAGACCGACCAAGATGGCAATCCGGCTGTTGGACGAACCCCTGCTACGTGTTGAAAGGAAAGTCCTTTCGCAAATTTGCATTGGGTGTCGAAGCTCTGTCTCTGGAAGGGGGTTAAGATTCGCTTTTCGGGCCGCTGTCCCACCTTTTTCTCGAAGGAGCTCAGACAACTGTAGCATGCGCTGTAGCATTATATGCCATGGGCATCATTGGCAGCAAAGTCATTGGGAATGAACCCTCTACCTAGCCCAGGAAGCCGGCGTGAAGCCGCGGCCCTAAACCCCACACCCTGAAATTTTGGACTGTGGCTTGAAGAGGATGCGACAAAATGTGTAGAATGATATTCCGGGTTTGGAGGCTTTTTGAAGGGGAATCCGGGTTCCTGAGCGGTTCCGGATTTATGGGTGCAAGTGTTACAATCCAGGGTCTGTAGTCGTCAATTCATCCTGTATGGAGCGAAGGCTTGCATCTTGCAGCAATCATCGCTGCACGCGGGCTTGCGCGAGTGCTGAGTTTCAGCGACGGTACTTCCCTTCGGAGGTTATGCTAGCACGGGAATGTTTGAAACGGAAACAAAAGCACGAATTCGAAACCCTGCGACGCGGGCCCTGACGTCAACGTTGCCAGCGTGCAGGTTGCAAGTGACTGAAAAGCCAGGGACAAGGCTTACTCGCTGAACACGCAGCGCCAGCTCCGCCTGACAAATGGAGGGCCGTTTGCTTTGTCAGTGTGTTGACCGTGGGCTGCGAAAGGAGCTCTTGCTGTGGTGTGTTCCTTTTCTGTTTTTCATTTTGTTTCTTTTTTTTCTCTCTCCCGATGGTTTCGGCTGTTGGACCTAGGCAGATGTGGCTGAGTGAGGGTTTGGTGCCCAGAGCTCGCATGCCCCCCTCCCAGGCCCCGAGGCATTCTCATCAATGTACCATCTCCGTCTAGGGTGTATGGACTGGGAATGAGGCCTCCGCTGTCCCATCCGGTTCCTTCCTGGCACATAACTCAAGGTTTTGGGGTGGCCATGTTAGTAGACATAGCCACATCCACATGAAATTTGCTATGCTATTGTGTCGACATGCTTCTGCTTCAAGTTCAGCGTAGGCTTGAATGCGCGCAAAGCATTCACTTGCAAAAGTGCAGCAGCGATCTGCACGGTTGTGCCGGATGGTGTGCGCCGAGGACCGCTTGATGCCTAAGCTCTTGTCTCGCCGCAGGCGCTTGAGGACTTTGAGCCTAAAGCCCCAAACTCCGCTCCAACTTAACCTCGCATCATGACAGAGCGGCAAAGCGGAAATCGGCCAGGATGTCCAAGCATATATGCCAGGGTAGGATGCAGGGTTCAAGATATTCAGTGGCCAGCAGGCCTTCATTGGAAGGAGCCAGAATGGAAGCGCTGACCTCGGTTCGATGGGGATGGGGATCACAAGCAAATCGCCCTAAAAGTCATGAAGAGCTTATATATGGATTTGTTACTTCTCTTTGAGTAAACCTGACCCTTCCCGAGCTCCCAGGTCCAACTTCAAGGAGCGCATCGTCACTTTAACGTACGGCGAAAAGCTGCGCCTGGCCTGGCTCTGAGATCGCATGGCAAGGGCCAGGATGTCCCAAAGCCCCGACCATGCCCCAAGCACGTCGCTCGCAGATGGTGCAGATCCAGCTCCGCCGGCAGGCAGGGGGGGGGGGGGGGCATTCGGCAGTGCTGAAAGGACTCTTGCTTGAGGTTGTCGGCTACATGTTTGGGCCATCAGTGAATCAGGGCAAGCCAAGACTCTTGCGCGCCCACAAAGCCCCAAGCCGCAACTTAAGGCGGTGTAAGACTTCCTTCTGGCAACTCCCCTCCTCAAACCGTCCTTAATTCACAATTTAGGGTGTTGCTCTGATTTGAGTTTTAGCTTTCGGGGTTTCAGAGTTCGGGCTCAGGATTATTTTCGGTTTTAGCTTCAGAGCCGACTGCTTGCAAGCTTCTGAGCTCAGCCCCAAACCCCGCAACCATGAAAAAAGGAAACCTTTGGTGATTGCAGGACCGACGTAACGCCCGGGAGGCTTGGGGCAGTTTTTTTGTTTCTCATCTGGTGTCACCGGACGGGATAGACGGTGTAATCATTGCATGGCTGGACTACGCGAGGAGCAGCACCAAGAGATGCAAGGGCTACATGCCTTTCTACATGTTTGGGCCATCAGCGGGGGCAAGCGGCCCCACAAAGCCCGAAGCCTCAATTTAAGGCGTGTCATATTTATTTTCGGTTTTGCCTCAGAGCCGCGTGCTTGCAAGCTTCTGAGCTTAGCCCCCAACCCTCGTAGCCATGAAAAAAGGGAAGCCTTTGGTTATTGCAGGAGCATTGGGGCAGTTTTTTGTTTTACCGTCTGATGTCACTGGAAGGGGTATAGAGGGCCAGGGGGAAATCATTGCGTGGCTGGAACATGCAGGGGCGTCGAGCGAAGCCACTGTTTTCGCAGAATTCCGCGGTTCACTTGTGGAAACGTCTTAATTTTAGGTCGAAAGCTGGGTGGCAGAGGCTATCTAGTTGAACCTGCCACTGCCACTGCGTCCAGTTGCGAAGCAAGATGCAAGGAAAGAGTGCAAACACAGCCCTCAACCCTCACTGGCAATCGACCCCACCCACTCCGAATGCCGCCGCCGGGCCTCAGTGGGCGTAAAGCGGGCAATTTATTTTAGGCTGGAAAATGCCAGGCGCCTCGTCAAAATCTAAACCCAACTAAACCCACAGTCACGGGGTTTTCGTTTTGCATTGAAATATTCAGCGCGGGTTACTGGAAAAGGACTCTGATGAGAGCAGGTTTGTAGACATTGACCGCGAATCGCGTAAACAATGGACAGGGGCTTTGGCTTCAACACGTTTCTACGCAGGAGAGGTTGCTTGTAAGCCCTCCGCGTCGAGGATTGCGCAGTGGCCCTGCGGACAGGCCTCTGGGAGGGCTCGCGTGCCTACACAATCCCGAGGACAGCAATCACGTGTTTTTGGGCTTAGGAAAGCCCACCAAAACCCTCAACCTCCTCACTCCAAACCAACCCTAAACCTTCCCCCCCCTCCTCTCCCCAAAGCTTAAACCATGAAAGCCCTGAACTCTCAACCCCACACAGCTTGTAAGCCCCAAACCCGAGCCCCGGAGCTGCTAAGTCCTAAGCCCAAACACGAAGGGCGAGAACTGGGCTTGGGGGTCGGTGCAAAGCTTACACTTCCACTCCCAAAACCCTAAACCCGCGTCAGGACTGTGCAAAGCACTGGGACTGAGGTCCCAGCACAGCTTGGCTCCGCGTAAGCCCGAAACCTCAACACAGTTGAGGGTTTCGGGATTAGGGGGCACTGAAGCCCTAACCCCAAAGCCCTAAAGCCTAAAGCCATAGAAGCTCCCCTGCTCCTGATACCCCTAGTCCCAAACCCTAAACCTCGTCAAGCACCCCGAACTTCGCAGCCTGCGACAGAGAGGAGAATCAGCTCACATTCAAAGAGACCCCACAAGATGACCGCAAGTGAATTCAATTTGGGCTACTTCAGGGGATAAGGGCTTGGGGGTTTTTTCGGGATGTGGGCTTCAGGCTTTTGCGATTTCGGTTTTGTGTTGGTCTTGGGATTCGATTTCACGGTTTAGACGTTTCGGCCAGGGCTAACTCCTGCGGAGACCCGGACTCCGAGTGGGCTCTTCTCTGTTTTAAAACGCAAAGTTTGCCCGTCCAAATGCCTAGGCTCTCAACGCCCCGAAGATTCGCCTTAACCTACGTGTGAACACGATGTGTCAAAATCCCAAATCCTTTAACGCCGCACCTTAAATGCCCGAAGCTTAACTAAACCCCCAACCCGAACCCTCAACACCCCACACAAGAACCTGCGGTGAATGTTGTAAAGAGGGAAGAGACATTGCGTCAAGTACCCGCAGAACATTTCCCATGTCTTCCAAGCTTCCCAGCAAAGCAACGTAGCCGCCCGCGAGGCCCTAAAAGGATGGTGATTTGGACAAGACGCTGCTGCCAGACGTGTGTGCTCTCGACCGTGCCAAAACATCATGTTGGTGTGAAGCTTTTCCTGGGCAGTGTTTGCGCGATGGGGTTCTTATATTCAGAACACAAGGACTGACAGGTGGACCCTGCAGCACGCATTCATGCGCCCGAGACGTCGACATCTGCGACCCCTACAGTTTTCCGGGTGGCCTCGACTCTCTCGCCTAGGCGTTGTGCGTATTTCTCAATCGCGTAGCGTGTGCGCCGGAGAGCCCGCAGACCGTCTGGATCTTCGCAAATAGCGGTCTTCGCCAAATCGCGCTGTTTCGGGTCTATGCCGGCATACCATGGCACTTGGGAAGGTAACGGCTTGCCCTTATTTCGGAGTCTGCACCGCTGTACTTTCGTTGGAAAACTCTGAGCTTCGATCGCTTCCGTCAAATACCACAACCCGACTGCACGCGGTCGTAGATACATGTTGATATCGTGCGACGTGCGAGCCCTATATGTACAGATAGACAAAGAAAAGCAGAAAAAGAGAGAGAGAGAAAGAGAGAGAGAGAGAGAGAGAGATAACTACGAGAGTCTCCTACGCAGATCCTTTCGGTCTCCCCGACACCCCGCGCTCGTACATTGCTTTGCCAGAGGCCGCTTGAATCTTGCACCTCAGCAAACATAAAAAATCAGCCAGCTAGTCGGATCCCCCAGGAGGGACGATCATTTATCTTTTTACAATTGCTAAGCCTTGCGGGGTCAAAGAAACGTAGACTCCAGAATTCAGGTTTTTGGGAGTTAGGGTTGAAGGCATTGAGGCTGGAAGGGTAAGAAGGGCTTAGGTTTGCGTTGCATGGGTTGCCTTGCGGGCCCCAGAGCTGCCAGAACCCGCTAAAAGGTGCAGCAATTACGACCCTAAGAGTCTTGCGTCTTCTTCAACGTGAAATTGCGCTTCCAGATCATTCCCCGTAACCACGCAAAACCCTACGTCCCAAGCCCTAAACCCTAAACCCTCACCACGTGTCACACCAAAGCCACGGCACCCTTTGACACCTCCAACCTCGCTCAGAGTAGCGTTCCACGAGTCTCCTCGCGCCCCTTGCAACCTTCTGGGCTCCAGCACCCGGGTGGAGGGTTGAGCGTCGAGGGTTGAGGGTTTTGTAGGTTTATAGGGTTAGTGGAGCGAACCTCAGAACACCCTTCCACACCAACCCCCGGACTGCCACACCACAGCCCCTAACCAAACTCCACCCGCTTGGCTTGTGGCGAAGTGTACCTGCCGACGTGGCTTCTTGGCAATCGAGGGCATACCTACCGTTGCGGCCACATTGTCTCAAACTATGTCGGCAGCCCTCTCGCAAAGCTTCAAGACCCCGACCAGCAACCTCATGCAAGAAACTGCGAACTTTCCTTGTGCAATGTATATGGGAGCATTGATGATAACTTAGTAAACTAGATTTGTGTGGGCATGTAGAGCTGAGAAGACTCAGAATTCCCAGTGAGACTTGGCCTCACAAATGCCATGTCATCCAAAGATGATGCGGTGGCTTGCGTGCTGCTGGTTGAGGTGGGGGGGATGGGAGGAGATCGGAAGGAAGCAAGATGCCTCTCTGACAGATGCCCCCGCCCCCCAACTCCTGGCAGGAGTCAGCCCAAGGTTCTTTTTTGTGTGAGAGGTCTGCAAACATTATGAGAGCAGGCCCCTCTCCAGCTTTGTTCCTCTTGTTCTCACGAAGCCACGATCACAAGGTCCCGTCCTATGTTATCTGCTCGAGAGAGTAGGACTGTTTTTTTGTTATTAAGCTGAGCCACGAAAATCACAGCGTCCACGCTGATGGCTCGCTGGGTCATCAAGGAGGCTCTTTCGAGAACCCGCATGATGAAATAGTGGAATTTCGTGCCAACGCCATTGGCATCGTCCCAACAGTTTGGTTGCGAAACTGTTGCTGGAAATGTCATTCACAATTTCCGCTACCAGGTTATTACTTGCGACACGTTGAGCAAAGCGGGTTGTTCTGCGTTGAGCTACATGTGTTCCCGAGCTGAATCAACAAAATCTAACAGAAGGTCAACTTCAGGTTGTAAAAACCAGCTGCTAGCACCGTGTCTGCCTTAACCCGTCCAAGTGGAAGTTGCCTCAGGCTTTGATGGACCCTGAAGGACCCTCCCCCTCCCCCCCCCCCCCCCCCCCCCCCCCCCCCCCCCCCCAGATGGTCACAAGACCTCAAGCTCGCAGGACCACGCGGTCCATGAGGTGGGTAGCCATGGCTTGGACAGCAAGGCCGCCTGATTGGCCTTCTGTTCTTGCTCGGGAGTGGCTGAGTAATTAGGGTCTCTATAGGAGATGGATGCAGGGTTCGGCCTGCACTCTTGCGTTACACGTGTTCGACGTTTCTATTCGGATGCTCGCTTGAAGTACTTTCAGTCCTCACATGATTCCAGGGATCTCATGTTCGAGCCGCCCGTATCCTAAGGGGCCTCCGAAGCTTTCCGCGCTGACTAGCTAACTATAGCAACGGCGCAAGGAGACATCCCAGAAAGCATCATCAGAGTTTTAGCCCGGAACTTGCGCCTTGAAACCTGGAAGCTCGGGGAAGCTTCTCCGAAGGCCCCTGAAGTGGCAGCTTAAGTTCCACAACCATCCTCAGCCACTACAAGCCCAACAACCTTAAACGAAACAGCGAGGGTTAGAAAGAAACAGCAACAACCAACTTTAGCTCAGACGCGCGTCCGATGGGCCTGGGAAGCAGCGCAGAACTCTGGCGTGAAGCTTCGTTTCCTGCGGGGCTGCCGAGCGGGGTGAGGGGGGGAGGGGGGGAAGTTTGAAAGATCATTTTTCAGCGGGGACGGCGTCCTTGCGCTCCGGAGAGGGTGCCCTTTGCCATTCAGAACGGCCCCTGAGGTTCAAACCTCAGATGTCAGTACGCTTGTTATGGCCCAGAACCAACCAGCAACCTTCCAGAAGAGTTCAAGGGCTTTGCCTTGCTTACGTTTCTGTTTGGGATCGGAGTCGGAAGCAGGACTTAAGGTGTACAAGGTGGATGAGGGCATGTTTGGGTGCACCACGCCAGGTCCGGCATGGAGTGTCAGCTAGCCCTCTTGTTGACTGCTGGGATTGGGATGTGCTCAGGTCTGTCAACGTGGCGGACAAAACGATCAACGGAAATCAGGCCCTGCAAAAGTTTGCTCTGACACTGAAGTTGTTCAGTAGGCGTCGTCGGATTTCGGGGGTGCGGAGCTCAAAGTGCTGTGATTGGGGGGATGTAGTATGCAGTATGCCCAATTCCGATGTCGAGAGAAGCGATGTCTTCCAGATCTTCAGGATGCCGACGAGAAGTCAGACTGACTCGAGCCAAGCTAGACTCGAAGAAGAACAGTGACTCAATAGCCATATAAACCCTGACCTGCACCATGCAACAGCGAGCTTCAATGAGACAGTCGGCTCTGAACTCGGCAACTACGGAAAGTCGAGGGTTTAGGGTTTAGGGTTTAGGGTTTAGGGTTTAGGGTTTAGGGTTTAGGGTTTAGGGTTTAGGGTTTAGAACCTACTGAGTCGTAATACCTCCAAACACCTCGCGTGCTAGACCGCCACAGGAAGGTCCATACCTTGACCTTCTCCGGCGTGCTCGCTGCAGTGCCGAAAGGCCTCCAGTTCGTGTCCAGTGCCGCCCGAGGGCTTATGGCTTATTGTGGTGCGGGCTTTCTTGGCCACGGCTCTAGAAGCGTGAAATCTTCAACGACCTTTCTTCGCTTTCTGTGCCATTGAAAGTCCCGGCAGATAGACCGTGCACTTAGAAGATCCAGTTTCGAGTCTCAACAGCAACCAGGGACCACGAAAGGCTGCTTTTGATTGGCAAAAACCAAGGCCACTCACACTCCCAAGTCATAGGATCATTTCATGATGGGGGGGGGGGGGGGGGGGGGGGGGTGGGGGGAACTGTAGCGGCGAGCATGCAGAGCATGCAGGTTTGAGGCCTTCGCTGGGCTTGATGGCAGTAGCGCCCCTGAATTTCAATTAAAAGCCATCCCATGCCATCCCTATTATGTGAAAGTGGGCCTGTGTTCTCTGGATGTTCTTGGCCGGGGTAGAAGGCTGAGGATTTGCCTTTGAAAGCACACGCCCGCAGGGAAATCGGAGATAGCAATGGCCTCTTGCAGTCTGAAAGCCCCTGGCGCCAGGCTCCTCCCCCGCTTGGCCAGGACTCTTGGCTCACATTTTCCGGGGAGGGGGGCGGGGGGGGGGGGGGGGGGTTGGGTTGGACAGCTTGGGACAGCTCGGGCTGGACTTCTCACAGATGTGCTGCTCCCGCCAGGACCTGGGGAAAGGACGCCCCGAAGACCCTGTCAGGACACCGCCTCCAAGCAGGTTCAAGTTCGAGGTCTTCGGATTCAGGCAGGCTATGCGAACCTGGCGGGAAGCTGGAACTCAGTTCTTCGGTTCGCCGCTCCGTGGGGTGGCAAGAGAAGCATCGGTGTGGATTTGCAGGGCCTCGTACACGGTGCCTGAACATGGGGACCTGAACAGAGCTTAGCCGGAGCTTTCACTGACTGGAGCTCAGAGGGGGGGGGAGGGGTCAACCACCTGCCCGTTACATGATCTCATAATGTTGTGGCGACAGAACTGTCCCAAAGCGGTGCTCCCTTGCCCCTCAGCAGCAACAGACATGCCACGCCAACCTGAAAGTTGCAGGAAACATCAAGCTCAAGCTGCGCAGCTACAGCAAAGTGAAACAGAAACGCCCGAGCCTCAGACTTGCGAAGGAGCAGCTTGGAGGAAAGCAGCTCAAGCGACATGCCTGCTTGACTTGAAGCAGCTGTGCCTCTTTTAGGTGAATATTGTGGCGGACAGACTTTACACAAGTGTTCGGCAGCTTGTAAGTAAGACATGGCACATTCCCTTGCGTGAGGCCCCCTGCCACGCGTACTAACTTGATCTCTGGTTCTTCCCTCTATGCTTGTTTACCATCTTTTGCCTAAAGATCCGAACATCCACAACCAAAAGAACCCAGTGCCCGAAGCCAATGACCGAACATGAATTATGCCGGGCTCTCTCCTGCCCCGTTGGGCCTTTTTGACCTTCAACTCTAAGGAGTGGAGATAATAAGCTTCGCAAATCTTCGCAACTTCCGATGTATTCCGGTTTCGTTTTCGTTTTAACCCCCTTTTGGAGAGCTTCTCCATGAGCCTCAGCTTTAAGCGAACCCAGGCATGCACGCCGTGGAGAGCGCGAAGAAGGGCTCCAAGGACCTGCAACTTTCGGGGCTTCAAGGGGTAAAAGGGGGGGATACATGTCAGTGTGAGAGGGCTTGCGGGCTCTATCCCTGTTTTTGGCAACGCAGTCGGGTTCAGCGCGTTCCGGTTTGAGACACAGAGGCTGCCGCCGACATCCCAAGAGGCCTCGAGTCAGAAATGGGGCTCTGGGGCCGTCGCGCCTTGGGGTTTGCAGAGGCTTGTCGCTATTTGACTGGAACTAGACACTGCCAAGAGCAAGGTTTACCAATTCCGAGGCCCCATGTTTGCCCATCTGTTTTTCCTTGCCCTCCCACAATATGGTCAGACTTGCATTGCGTGGCTTAGTGACGTTTCTTTCCTACAAGTTCCTTGCGCTACGCTGGAAATGCTGGGGAAGAGGGTCGGGTTCTCGGGGTCAGAGTCAGGGAACGTCGTTGCGTGCATCCATCCTGCAACTTTGCGGCAGGACATGAACATCGTGCAGAATTCATGCAGTCTCTGGATGAAGGCCCGACCTTCCCCAGGTCCTAGCAGAGAGCAGAAGATCGGATTTCTGTACTCCGAGTTTCAGCTGCCAGCTCTACCGAAGAATCTCCAGCCAACCCTTGCCACAACTCCGAATTTCTGTATCTTTTGTGGGAGGGTACCCGGTTCCTCTGCGCGAGTGAGGATTGTGGAGGATTGGGGGTGTGTTGGGAAGGTTTGGGCAGATGTGCGGGATCCAAAAGGGGCGGACTTCCATTTTGTAGTAAGGGGTGCTCGGACGAACTGCTTGCAACCACGATCAAAAATCCAGAGAGATCATCCCGAACAAGCTCCGCTCCGCTGAGAGGATCCGAAGAGCGCAGGCAGAGCCGCAGAGGTGCCTCGGGCCGGGGGGAGGGGAGGGAAGAGGTTCAGCGGTGGCTGTGCCGGCCTTGAGTCAGACCTGAAGAACGGGATGTCCACGCCTAGGCCATGCTGGTGGCCGGCGTCCTCGCCGTGGACCTTTCAGTCAAGGCCGACATTCTTCTCGGTTCAGCAAGAATCCTTGGTCCTAGGAACTGGAGGTCAGAACTCCGGGTTTGAGTGAGCTCGTGAGCTTGTGAGCTTTGAGGGGGGGTGAGACTTGGGCCCTCCAGAGCTTGGGGTGGGCTTATAGGGCCCCGAACACGCTTTCTGCAAAAGCCTTGGCAGCTCCTTTCTGTTGAATCTTGGCATCTTCCTCTTTTGCCCGTGTGCCTTTGTGTGCCAGGAGGGACTGCCCGTCCTCGTTCTCGGCCGACCTCCCGGCCATGCCCCCGTCAGGAATTTTTTAGATGGGGCATTTTGCGGTTGAAGGGAGGCTTGAGAGCAAAGGTGGTGCTGGATGTACGGATGTACTGTTAAGGATGCTCTGTGAGCAGGGGGCCAAGAAACTCCAGTGACCATCGGCCTATCGATCCCCGACATCCCAATGCCAAGACTCAAAATCCTTTAACTCAACACTTTGGGCTCAGACCCAACTGCAAGAAGATGAGAGGCTGCTTGGATTCTGGAGTTCGAAATATTCTTGCTGCTGGAGGCCACCACGCGACTTGCGGCCACGACCTGCGCCTTGGGGACACCTGGAGCGCGCCCTGTGGAGAGCTCCCAGGTTTCGTGGGCTCTGTGGGCTGCGCGCTTCGTGCTTGGGCTTCGGAAAGAGGTTTGCTTGGTGAAGTTGTGCAGGCTCCAATTCTTCAGCGTGCAAAGCAACCGCGGACTCCCAGCAGCAGTGGTCGCAATCGTCATTCTCCTCCGCCTCCTCCTCATCCTCCTCCTCATTTTCATTCTCCTCCTCATCTCATCATCAGCAGCGTCCTGCACATGCCACGTGCTCATCCTCAGCCTCACCGGCCACTGCTGCCTTCGTCCTCTTCAGCATCATCCTCGTCGTCATCGTCATTGTCCTCATCGTCAGTGCACGATAAGAAGACAAGACGCATGAATAGACAGCATGCTGAAATCAGATGCTGGCAAAACACAAATACATGCTCAAGTTAAGAACGGTGACATTAGAACCGCCAGGCCAACCCCAAAACCCAACACCCCCAAACCCCCCTTTCGTATGGAGGTGCCAGCCTTGGCGGGGGCTGCTTCTACCCCTCCACGTGGCTTGCGGCGCTGCACAGCTTGAACAAGGCTCTCATGGTTGGCATCAGTTGTTTTTCCTGGCGGGGGGGGGGGGGGGGGGGGGGGGGGGGGGGGGGGGGGGCGTGGCGGATTGGCGGAAAGGGAGGGAAATGCTTGAGGTTGGACTTAAGTTGCAGCGGGCCGATCTTGAATCTGGAGTTCAGAAGCCCAGCCTGAACCCCTGCAGTCTGCTCTGCTATCAGCCTGCAAGGGCTTGCAAAGCCCTTTCCAGAGGGAGCCGATGCATGTGTTGCAGTGCGAGTCCCTATAAGCAACTCCTTGCAAATCCTTGCAAGGGCCACGCAAAGCGGCTGGCGTACGTCGATGTCGATGCGCACATGCCGGACGGAGCACCTCGACTTGAGGTTTCGGAGTTCACCTGAAGAGCGCCACGGGCCGCAATCCCTTGCACCTCCAAGCAGTGAAGCTCAGCGAAGAGCTGACCCATGATTCAAGCTAACTTTCAAGCCGTGGGCCCTGACGCCAAACAGCTGCGTTTGGCTTCTGGACTTGTGGTAGGCCACGCCGAGGGGCTGCCGGTGCAACTGAAGCCTTCCAGACGAAGTTCCTTAGAGAGACCTCGAAGACCTGGGCACTACAACCTCGGGTAACGGGCGAAGCCATTCAAAGCTCCTGCACCGGAGCGCTGAACATCCGCTACCTTTGAAGATCTCACGCCCCACGCATGGCATATAGGATCGTAAGACTGAGGGATTCCGATGCTCCTTTTGCACCCGCAACATCCCTGGGCTGAGGTCACTTCTAAGCTCCCTTTTGCCCGCCTTACTGCAAGGTCTGGAGGGAGGTGGATCACTTCTCAAAGCTTCAGAAGGAGCACTCTTTTGGGTGGCGCAGCCTTTCAGAGCAAGGGGGATGCACCTGAGATCACCTGAGGCTCAGACCACGATGTCGTAAAGTAGCGTCCTGCTGGGGACTTCTCTTCTCTTCATTGCAGCTGTGTCCTTGTCTTGGAAATACGGCACTTAGGTTGCGCGCATTGTGAAAAAAGGGAGATACCACATTGTCTCCGCCCCGCGGTCTCCCGAAGCCTGGAGAGGATCAGCGCGACTTCCTCCTTGGCAAGCGTGGCTCCTGCACAGGCGAGGCGCATGTGTGTCTGACTTGGCTTGAGGCGTGGGCTCTTTGAAGTTCGGCTTTGGGTAGGAGGGTTTTGAAGTTCACAGCCTTGGAATGCTTGTGCGGTTGCAAGTTGCGGGATTCAGGAATTGCATTCACTTGCCGCCCGCACTTCCGTCTTGTTGCTCTCGTCAGTCTCTTCTTTCTTAGTCATCTTCATTTCTCAGAGCCCGCAATGGCAAAACCGATCAACACAGACAAGCGCCAGTAAGAGGCCGTACCTGGCCATTCTTCGACTACTCAGGGTGTTCGTTGTGTTGAGAGCCTAAGCCCGAGGTATTTTATTTTCGTCGATCCATATCGATGGCTATCCGCTCGGGACTCGGGTCTCATCTTTGCTGTGACACAGTGGGCTATTGCTGCTACGGTCAGAGATGCAGCTTTGCCAGTAAAACCGAGAACGCCCCGAGGCCTACCCAACAAAAACCCAGGATTTCGAGAACTCCAAGAAGCTCCTCGAACAAAATGCCTCCTAAACCCCTAAACCCCTAAAACCCTGAAACCCTGAAACCCTGAAACCCTGAAACCCTAAAACCCTAAAACCCTAAAACCCTAAAACCCTAAAACCCTAAAACCCTAAAACCCTAGAACCCTAAAACCCTAAACCCTAAACCCCCCTCTTTTTCGGGTTTCAAGAGACAAGGAACCCGGGCTCCTCCTGGCACTCGGTGAAACGAAACCTGCATCGGCAGCGTGCCTTTGAGGTCGGCATATCGGGCCCTCCATAACTCATAGGGACTTTTTAAGGGTTTTGGGGGTCGAAAGACTGTGCATTCAGGGTTTTCGGGTTACGTTGAGATGTTCCTCGCTTAAACTGAGAGCCTGCTCTAGATGTTGTAGATGCACTGTGCTTCATTGGTGCCTGTCGGATTTTTTTCAGCCTGTCAGACTTTAAGTTCGAGGTATGCTGAGGATTTAGGCTGGGCAATGGGACTTGGCTTGAGGTGTGGAGCTTTCCAGCTTGTGGGGCAAGGGCTGTGTCTCAGGAGTTGGCACGTAGTCGCCGCAATCTTGTACTGGTTGATTAACCACCCTGAATTCGGAATGCTAGCCGAAGTCTAGTTGACGCCAGAGCAGGTGCGGGTGCGGGACACCCTCCTGCCGCAGAGCGTTACGCGAGGTCGGGGCCATGGGAGGTTTGGCAGCTTCAGCTGATTTCTGTTGCGGTCGTTGGCCCGGAGAGCACTTGGACGAATCAAGAACTTCCCTGACTCGAAGGCACGGCGAGCAGCAAGAACGAAGGGCTGATCACAAGATATCAGCGCTGGCGCAACGAGCTCGATAAGGACCCGAAGCCTCACCATCGCTTGTTGTCCATCGTGCACGACAAGATGTTTGAATATTGACTACTCGTACATCACACTCAGCAACTGGGGGACGACTGACTGTTGGAGGGTAAGGTTCAGTTTAGGGTTTAGGGTTTAGGGTTCAGGGTTCTCCAGGTTTATGTTTGCCGTTCGCCGCAGGAGATGAAGAGCTTCCTACCCGACGGGCTCTTCGTCGGGCTGGGCCTGGACCTTCACCAGAAAGAGTCCAGGATTTCCGACAAGAAGGAGGGGGGCCTAAACCCGAAACCCTAAGCCCTAAGCCCTAAACCCTAAACCCTAAACCCTGTACCCTGTAAACCGTAAACCCCAAACCCTAAACCCTAAACCCGAAACCCTCCCCCCCCAAGAAAAACAAAAGAGAGAATGCTCACCTCTCAACGTGGGCAGGTTGGTCGCGGGCTCTGCAAGCCTCAGTACCGGAGCCTCTTCTCCGGCTTCAGGCCGGTTCCATCCGGTTCCTATCAAGTTGAGTGCTTCACTGTAGCTAGTCTAGAACACCCCGCAGAAATTCATGTCTGCCTTGCCTGAAATGCCGCGACCCGAGCACTCCTGCACCGCCCCCGATGGAATGCAGAGCAGCCAGGGCAGCCTCTAGAGTTCACAGCTGGGGGGGGGGGGCGGGGGTGGCTGCTTTCAGAGGGTGAGCTCCTTTCCAAGCGCTTCGAAGCTGAATCCCCCGCTCTTTCACAGAGCCCCTTGAAACATACTTTCTGGTGGCTCCAACAATAGAGGGGACTGCTAAAGTGAAGCCATCGAAGTCAACAACGTGCGCACGTGGAATCTTGCGGCTGTTCCCATCTTTTCTTGATACTTGCAAGTACGAGTACAGGGTCTGGGATGGTTTGGTGTTTCTTGTCTTTTTTTGAGGGGGGGGGGGGGGGGGGGGGGGGGGGGGGGGGGGGGGGGGGGGGGGGGGGGGGGGGGTTGGGGCTTTGGGGGCGCCCCGGGCTCAAAGCGGCACAAAAGCCCCTTCATCTCCGTAAACCCAAAACCCTCCAAAACCCAAAACCCTAAGCCCTCAAGCCTAAACCAAGAATCCCTTCTCGAGGCTGCCGAAGAAAGCCCCAGTAGCGGCGGCCTGAGAAGAGCTGCTTTGCAGTTGCACTTGGGGGGGGGGGGGGGGGGGGGGGGGAAGGCAGGCTGGGGCCCTGCCGCTACGCCGTGATGCTTGGGTTGATCTGAGAGAGCAGCCATCCTCTTTGGGAATCAGTGGGCGGCACCCTCTCAGCCCTCCCAAAACTTCCAAGCAGAGGCCGGAAACTGGATCCGAAAGTTCCCCCCGTCCCCGCGAGGTTCTGATGCTCGAGGGCGGCTACACCAAGGAAGGCTCCGCCCTTGGAAAAAGTAGGGTCTCGAAATTTGCCGACGAGCAGGTCCAGGGCTTTACAGGGCCGATTTGAACAGGTTCCAATGGCTCCATATTATGGCAGCTGCTTGAACGGCTCTGAGGAAATCAGGATGGATCGGTTCGCGAGAAGGGCCACTCCCCTTCTCCTGATACAACTTGACACCTCATCGTGAAGCCCTACTTGTAGCGAAGAAGGAGGAGGGGAACTCAGGGGAAGAGGTAAACTCAGCCAAAGTCACTCATTGCTATTATTACTATTATTACTTTGTTACTCTTATTACTATTATAACGATTATCACCATGATTACTATTCTTGTTTTTTTTTTTGCAAAGACCCGAAAGTCCAGAGGTGTGGAAGATGGCATCAGCGGCACCCTTGCAGGCCTGGAGAGCCTGGCTGCGAGGTGCGACACTCGGAGAGGGGGGGAGTTGGTGGTGGAGGAGGCCCTGCTGTCGACAGCCTTCAGCTCACAACCCCTCAAACCGGCCCTCAAGTCTCCCAACCCCTGGCCCTCAAACCCTAAACCCTATAAACCCTATAAACCCTATAAACCCTATAAACCCTATAAACCCTATAAACCCTATAAACCCTATAAACCCTATAAACCCTGTAAAGCCTATAAACCCTATAAACCCTAAACCCTCTCAGACCACGCACCTCATCCCGGTTGGAGGCGTGTGAAGAAGAAAGCCCCCTTCTTCAACGCCAGGTCGCGATCGGGGAAGCGGAAGATCAAGCCCCGCGAGCCGAAGGCCTGGGGTGAGCTTAGGCTAGGCTCGATTATTACGACTTTATTGATATTACTACTATATACTAGCTAGTAGTATTCTTACTATTACAACCACCCTTACTCGTATTGCTACCATCACTACCATCACGACTATTACTTTCACTACTATCATTACCACCACCACTATCAGTACTAGTACTATTATTAGTAATATTATTTCTGTTCCTATTTTGTACTAATATTGCTACGATCATTATCCAGGGTTTACGTAGCGTTTGGGTTTGCATTCTTTGGCCTTGTGTTAAGTCGTTACAGAAGTTCGCGAATGTTAGGACGTAAATTCCCCCCCCAGGAGCTTTCTTAATCATCTCTTTGCCCTTTGTTGTTAATTCAGCGCCCCTGGCAAAGAAGTGCCGGAACAGATCAAACAGAAAAAGAACCCGAATTGATGTCTCAAAAGCAAGCGAAAAAAACAAAAACAATGGGAATCTTAGAGGATTGATCTGGTGCCTCCTCTCAAAGAATGCTGCTTGGAACACCAGATCGCAATTTGTTGTGCCACCATGTTGCTCCCCCCCATACCCCCCCCCCCCCCCCCCGACCGCTCCATTTTTCCATTGCCGCGAACTGCATGTTCCATCCGTATATCAGCCTTTGTCACTGCGATGGCGCGCGAGAGAGCCTGGCGTGGGAAAGGAACTCGACATATCAAAGAACGAGTCTCAGCCAAGGGTCCACAGGTCTCAAGTTCCTGTTTCACCTTCAACTGTTGCGCGCCTTCCCCCACCTTTTTGCACCGAACAGCTCCCAGAAGAGGAGTGGAGCGAAGTAGAGAATCAGAGAAGAGAGCCCCGAAAAAGCTCTGGTGCTTTATTAACTTTTTTTATATTTGCTTACGAAGTGTTTCAGCACTTTTTTTTGGCTCGCCCGTTAGCCATGATGTTTTGCAGTAGCCCAAAGGCCTCTCCAGCCAAGATGCGTTTAAGAGCTTACGGGGCATGGCAATGAGGCACGAGGGTGGCTGTTGGGGGGGCTGTGGCGCCAGGCCCGAAAGAGGCGGCGAGCTTCGTGAGCCGCGGCGGCCTCGGCAATTGGGGTCCGTTGGGGTTTCAGTGTCGACACTTGGGACGGAGCTACGGGGATTTAGGGTTGTGGCTTTGGGGCTTGATAGAGTTCAACATCAGGAAAGTCGAAGGTCTCAAAGCCTCCTGTGGGCAGCCGAGGTGCCCTCCGTTTCCAAGCCAGGCTGTCGCGCAAAAAGAGCGCGTCAACAGTCACTTATAACAGTGATGAACAGCGGCTGCTGCCTGAAGTGTGGAGGCTTTGTGCTTCAGGCAGAAGGCTGCTGGGAGATTTCCCTTCAGTTTGTCTAAGAGGCCTTCAAAGGGATCCGCAGCCTGGAAGTCGTCCAGCCTGGGCTCGACAGGGTAGTTTGGGTATCCTGTGGACCCCTGGTGTGATCTGCATCAGCATGGATTCGCTACCCTCATCATGCGAGCACGGGAGTCCTGGAGTAAGGCTTACCAGCATGGGCTACTAGGCCTTATCATTCCCCTAACCCTATAAAGGGCCTTTTTAAGGGGTTATAGGGTATAATAGCCCATGTAGGCAGGGTATGCTAAGCTCGAGGGTGTTCGCAGGGCTCAGATGTTGAATCGTAGTTGAGCAGCCCAGTTTCCAGTACTCAGTACGTGGCTACGGCTGTGGTCGAACCTTTCCCGAGCTCCCGTCCCAACATGAATCCCCCTTTCAGCTATTTTCCAGCAGAGTAGGCATTCATCTTTTGTAGCTGTGACGAGAATCGTCCGTCGTTCTGGTGCAATGGCTCCTGGAAACAAGCAGAAGCAAGCTGCGAGCACTGGTGACGGATCTTTGGCGAAGGCGGAGGTCCGCGTCGGAGTGTGATCCCGAAGCTTTCGGGTGTTAGCTTGGGGGTCCCGATCTGTTTCGGCTGTTGGCTGTTGGTCCCTGGGGTTGGGCAAGTCGGTGCACATTCGCGATCACAGCTTAAGGTACTGGAGCCTGATCGTCCTTGTGGCAGACTGTCGGTTCTCATAGCAGCAGCATACTTGGCGACAGTTTGAGATGCATTAGTTTTCACGTTGGCACTCCTACGCCAGCTGGCTCCGCCATTCCCAGAACTTTGGCCACAGGAGGGCAGCAAAGGCAGCAAAGGCAATGCCGGAGCCAATGCCGGCGGCGATGCCGGTGGGGAGCCAGGCGACACGCTTGCGCAGCTCATGCGGCAACTGGGGCAGCGGCTTGGCGGAGCACTGGCTCTAAGACTAGGACCTCTGGGACTTGGGGGGCTGTGGCAGCATAGAGTAGACATGGCTTCCATTTCCCGGGGGGGTGGGGGGGGGAGGGGGGGGCAAGGGAACTGTGGCACTTCGACTTCGAGGCTTCAGGAATGTCACTTCTGAATTCTACGGTGGACCTTCTAGCCAGGATCGCGACCTGCCATGTATTTTCCTTTGCCTCTTTCCTCCCTCAGAAGTAGCCGAATGTGACCCGCAACCGGAAGCAAAAGCCTGAAACCCTCAAACCGACGGCCCCCAGAGGCAGGGGAGTAACGGAGAGTGGCGCACTTTGAGTTGAGCTTGCTTCTCTTGATGGGAGAAGCCTGGGTGACCCGCGTCCTGCTTGTTGACAAGAAGATACGGCTAAGCCCGGCTAGGCTCCCGATATTCTGGCCTTTCTGGTTCATCCCGAAGATCTGGCTGCGGTTGAAGCGAGGTACCCTAAGAGGGAAGAACGGTTTCGAGATCTGCCCTAATATGATGTTTTGTGGGTGTTGCCCTTGTGTTGCCTCGTGTTGCCCCTCTGACAAGCCGACTCGCACCTAAGGTGCCGCATGCAAGAGTACAAGCTTCCTGGCTCTGATGTAAACATATGTATAAACATATGTAAACATATGTAAACACATATGTAAACATATGTAAACATATGTAAACATATGTAAACATATGTAAACATATGTATACAGGCGTGTAGTGCACCATGGCTGTTTGTAAGCGCGTGGACGTTCAGAGCGCAGACGTTCAGACCTGAGGTGTTCGGCGGGCTCAATCTTTGCTTGTGCGTACATGGGGGCTTATAAGATTGCCCCCAGCCTGGAGCTGATGAATTGGTGGTGTTCAGGGGTTGTCTCATATCGGGTGTTGGTTTTCCTCCAAATCCTGGTTGGCCGCTTAGCCTCATTGTTTTCTTGCCGAGCCTTGAAGGAAGGATGTCTGCCCGTAGCCCGGCCGACAAAGAGACAGAAAGAGGAGGAGGGAGGAAGAGAGAGAGGGGAGAGGAGAGAGCGCAAGCACAAACTAGAGCCCAAAAGCCCATGAGCCGCTACAAGTAGGGGAGAAGTCTCTGACCAGTCCTCCACAGGTTGGAGAACCAGGTGCTCCAAGAGAGCCACCGACGGGTCACCGAGCTCCAGGCCGTCTGCGTAGACAGTGGGGCGGAGGGGTTCAGGTATTTCAGGAAGCATGTTTGCTCTATTTTCTACTCGTCAATTTTTCTGTGATTCCTATGATTCCATGATTTTGTTCGTCCATTATTCTATATCATTCTGTTCGTCTGTACCATTCTATTCTTCCATTCTGTCAGTGGCCTTCAATCTCTGCAGGGGCGGCTGCGCTCCACCGAATCGCGGCTCAGCGCCGCGGAATCCAAAGTGGCCGCCGCTTGGCAACATCTCCCTCTCTCCCCCCAAAAAGTCGAAGGAAGGCCTCCGTAAGTTTGTTGCTGCTTGAGGGGTTATTTAGGGTTTATAGGGTTGAGGGTGTAAGGAGCACCCATGATGGTAGATCACCTGCTTTAAGTTCCTTATCGGTGGGGCCTGAGCGTGAAGATCCCGAGCCACACACACACACACACACACACACACACACACACACAGCACACACACAGAGACACACACACACACAGCACACGCACACACACACACAGAGCACACACACACACAACAGAAAACACACAACAGAAAACACACACACACACACACAGACACACACACAGACACACACACACACACACACACACACACACACACACACACACACACACACACCCACACACACACACACCCACACACGCACCCGCACACGCACCCGCACACGCACCCGCACACGCACCCGCACACGCACCCGCACACGCACACGCACACGCACACGCACACGCACACGCACACGCACACGCACACGCACACGCACACGCACACGCACACGCACACGCACACGCACACGCACGCACACACACGCACACACACGCACACACGCTGGAGTCTCTGTGATCGCAACTCTGTGCGTAAGTAAAGCCACAAGACCGATTCCCGGGGTCTATCTTCAAGCCTAACCTTGGGTCGGGGGCATGGGGCGGGACGCCAAGGAGTTAGAGAAGGAGCTGGCCAGTGCGAGGCCTGTCAGGGGTTGAAGGCTTTCTGTAGTTGGTTGCTTGTGAAGTCTGGGATGGCTCTTGAGTTACCTTGACAGCTTGATGGGAACCCATGTCCGTTTCTCCAGCTCATGCAAAGCTAGTAGCCGCCAGAATGTCCAGGCGCCAAAGCCGGAACTTAGACCTGGAGTTGTAGACATCTTGCTCGACCCTCTGCCCCACCCCGCCCCCAAAAAGATAAACATAATAACAATAATGGGAAAACTTCTCCCGAGAATCTCCGGTTTCAAAGGATTTTTGAGGCCCTGAGAGTCAATGTGGCAGGTCGAGCACGCAGAGTCAGAACCAAAACAACTTCGAAGGTGCCTACGATGTGCCCTGGTTTTACTGTAGTAGTCCAGGCATAGTGGAAAGATGCGGGGCGATTCGGCTCGAGTGTTTGCCCGCGCGGAGGAAAAACCGACAAAAGAAAGACAGAGAGTAGGAGCCGTAGAGGCTGAGAGAGGAGAGACAGACGGCGTTGTTGGCCTTGCTTTCACCCGAGGCCAAGAAGCCACCCTGCTTCCGCACAGCCACTTGGCAGGGCAGTCAGCCGTTGGTCTAGAGTGAACGGCGGAGAGGGCTCAGAGGTTTGAACGGTTTTTTTCAAGTTTGTGCTTGACAGCTCAAGGATTCAGCATGTCGGGTGAAGCTGAGGTAGGGGTTCAGAACTCAGAACAAGAGCATTGATGGCATTGATGGCATTGAGGGTAGCTGGCAGTGGTTAGGGAAGCCCCCCCCCCCACCCAGCCCAGACAACTCCTTGCCTGGCAACAACCCAAACCTCCCAGCTTTAATTGCCAGGGCCGCGGAAGAAATCAAAACTCTGGAACCCTCCAGCCTCAGCCACCCCGGTTGCAAATCTGTGACAAGAGGCCAATCAGGACATCAAAGGCAACATGGAGGCCCAATCGGTGGTCCATGAAGTCTTGATTCGGTGATGCAGGGTTGCACAGTTAAGCGCCGTTTGCCGGGTTGGAGAGGTTTGGCATTGTTGCTTTGAGGGCTGTAGGTTCGTGTGAGGATTTCCAAGTCTCAGAGAGTCGTGGCCTCACCTACAACAAGAGTTCCTGCCATGGGCGGGGTCGAGGACGGCGTTTGTATACCTCTGTGGCGGTACTTAGAGCCCGACCCGTCGCCATCCTCCACTATCCTCTAAGCTCCTTGAAAACCCACTCGCAAAATGTCCCAAAGCGCGACTCCAGATCGGCTACCTGTCCGTGCAGAATGGCGCCCTCGTTGTCGCCACGCACCTCCAGGCCATTAGGATCCATTAGGGAATGCGAGCTCTGGTCGCTTCCATGGTGTTGTCATGGATTGGGGGGTTCGCAAGCGATCCGTGCCCTGTACGGCGATTAGGTGGACTATAGGCTAACGATGCACACCCCGCAGGTACAGCCATCTGCCTTTCTGGGCAAGAGCCGTCGAACACGGGGTTTGAACTCTGCGGTAGAGGTTTGGTGTTCCATGCTCGCTCTTCCTTTGTCGCGTTGGGTGCGCACAACAGCATTTGGGGCAGAGGCCGCTGCAACCCGGAAAAAGAATCGGAAATGGATCCAAGCAACCTAAGAAGCCGCCCGGGAGGAAGACTACTACTTCGGCTACCAGTTCGACCAGCCCAGCAACCAAGGATGGTTTCCGGTTGCCCAGACGCGCGACTTCGACCGGCGCGAGTTTGGGCAGAAGTAGGCAGAAGTAGGGCCAGCGTAGTAGGGGTTTCAAGGTTTTTGTTTGAGGGGGGGTGTGCTGTTCGCAGTTTTGGGTGAAAGCTATAGAGTTCAGTACGTTCGAGGGTTTCAGGGTTCATGGCCGAACCTCAGCGTGCCAGCCGAGCCACAAAAAAAGGGGTGTGTGTGTTGTTTACTGCAGACGTGGGAGAACCCCCCCCCCCCCCCTTTTGTTCGAGGGCAGCCGAGCAAGCCCAGGCATGCAGAGAGTGAGGTGAGGGTGGGGGTTCGGAGTCGAGTAGCGGGCATAAACAAGTTTTTCTCCTCGGGCTATCGGATCTGCTCTGCTTTTGGGGCTCCGCGCGCTCCCCCGGAGTATTTTGGCTGCAGCCACCTTCTGCTCTACAGCGCTTCGCTTCCAAAAGCCCGGCCGCAACTCTCGTCATGGCTCCCATGAAGGCAATGAAGGCACTGCTGTCAATGTCCTGAGTCCTGAAAGTGTCCTCAATATCCGTGGGTTTGTTCTTTAAGTTCAAGGGTGTTTCGCCAGCTGCACTGGGCAGGCTATGAAGGCCATGAAAGCCATGAAGGCCATGAAGGCGGCATTCAATGACTCGCACTTTGCTGGTGCATACAGTAGTGAAAAGAAAGACCCGGCTGCACTCAGTGTGCCCGCAGGCAGCCGAAAATGACGAACAGAACCCACCCATCACTGAACTACAAACTCTGTTAGTCTAAAGAGAGAATGTTTGTACTGTGGCTCCACACTGCGGCAACACAAGAACCCCGGATTCTGCTTGACAGGCCATGAAGGCGATGAAAGCTATGAAGGCAAGTATTTGGGCTGGATGGCCTACTTGCATCCTCCCACCACTTTGACAGAACTGAGCAGAGCGTACGTGGCAAATATTTTCGCAAGTGTCACATGTTTGCCTGCATTGTTTCCGCAGGCAATGAAGAAGGCGGATGACGAGGATGCCCCGGCAATGAAGAGCATGAAGTCAATGAAGGCGCCAGCCGTCGGAAGCCGATGGTTCTGTCATCGGATGGGCGATTTTGGGGGGGAGCGCGGCGATGGACACTTCTCTCCAATGGGTTTCCTCTCCACGTGGCGTCCTCCTGACTGCAGCCTTTCTCCCCTTGCATCGCCAAAGTGCCCATAAAGCCCATAAACTAACTTTGGTTACGATGCTTGCCCTTCTGTGAAATTTTAAGTGGCAGGCGATGAAGGCCATGAAAGCGATGAAGGTCGCGTGCCGATTGAACTGTGAGATTCATCTTCATCCATTTCGTTCTGTGCCTGCGCCACACGGTGTTGCTTCTTGTTTTCCTCATGTCGGCGCGGGCTCAGAGCCATGTATGGTACTCTCAGGCGATGAAAGCCATGAAGGCGATGAAGGCAAGCCCCTACTCCTACTGTTGAAGAGCTTTGCGGACCCATCGGTGAAGCGTCCATGAAGCAAGCTCATCTTCAATGCTCGATCTAGTACTTGGAATTCCCGGGTTTTGCTAACTGCTTGGTGCCTTATAAACTAGTGAGTTACTACGTCATGAGTCGAAACCAAGTTACTAGTATAGTCAAGAAAGTGCTAACAGGGTCTTAAATTCCTATAACTCTTGACAGGACTTGTTTACAAGATTGTCTTGTTAGCTACCTACATGAATTAACTTGGCTAACAAGTCAGCGGTCAGCGGCATCGAGTACTTTGTGCGAAGTGACGTGGCTGACTGGGCTGCATTACAGTACGGCTCAGTTTCAAGCTCGATGCAAGGGCGAGAAACCGAGCTGCAAGATACGGGTCCTTTCTTCCAGACTTTGTGTCACACACACGCGCACACAGCCGCACCACAGAGTGACAATAGGGGTGCCTGGCAGTCTCGCTCTACGATCGTGGTTGCAATCGCTGGTGTAGTGTGTTGCGTGCGGACTTGCAGTTCACGGGGATTCAGTTGGACTTTGCGGACCAGGGTTCCTGAATGAGGTTTTCTCTCCGACGAGCCCTGCTTCCCCTACAGCTCCTTGAGTGGTCCCAAGTGCACAGCCATGCCAACATCCCGGTGTTAAGATCCCTGGTGCTCCCGTGTGTTATGTGGGCCACGGGCTTTGCTCAGACCAGCGAAGATGATGTCAGGGCCATCCAGGCTGAGATTCAAAGCGTCTTTTGATGTCTTTGCGCAGAGCCTCAGCTTCTTGCGCGCTGCGCTTGCCGCGGTTCATGCGGGTTAAAGGCTCATGTGGAAGACACGCGGCAAGTCCTCAATGGCACCCTGCTTGCCAAAGACCAAACAAGTGCCACGCCTTCCCGTGGGATCTCGGAGGCACGTGGCCTGCGCTCCGCGTCACTTGCATGAGTTTTGACAGACAGCATAACCTCAGCACCAGCGGGGCCTTCAACTGGGACATCCCCGAAAAAGTCGCTTTTGGCGTCGCCCGTTTTCATCTTGGGCTTCCTAGGCAGCGGCGCCCTCCGGACCATCGCAGGAGCACTAAGACCAGAGATCAAGAAAGACGCACGCAGCCCAGCGAGGGTCCAGCGCACGAAATATTCAGGTGGGTGCCCAGGCACAGCGAACCTACGACGTCACGCATTTGCCGCCGGTTCGGGGTTGCCGCGGCTGATGTCGACCCAAACTTGGCGCGCGTCAGTGCGCGATTCATGCTCTGTTCTCAGCTGTGAGAGCCACATCCGTGTGCTCACTGCGAAGCATGGGACACCAACTCGACACATGACCTCTCAGGCTGCGCGGTTCCGCTGGGCTTAAGGCCAAGCGTGCGCGTTGGCGAAATGTCTTTGACACTCCTGCATGTTTTGATGCCCTGGAAAAGATTTGCAAGCCTATATTCTTTGCTGCTCCCCCTAGCGTTCCTGCTGCGGGCTTGCAGTCCATTTCAAAGTTGGATCCATCGCAGGTGCTGAGCTGCTGTGAGGCACATTCCTTCCCGTTCAGCTTGCGGCGCTGATGCCTCCATCGCGCTGAAATGTTGGCTTTGCCACTTCCGCTTTGGGATTCGCGTGATTCGCTTGCTGCTGTCCCTCGCAGCATGACTGCCGGGGCTGTCTCAAGACAGCTGACTACAAGCATGCAAAGCTCAAATACCAGGCATTGCCCCAAAACAAAGTTTGTGGCCAGGCGTGTGTGCAGGGTGACAGTTATGAAATTGCTGGGGTGCCCCGTGACTGGAGCCCGGCAGAGCTCTTCAAAAGCCTTGCCAACACAGACCTGCCCTGGGAAGATATTGACAATTGAACGAGCCAAGCTCCTGTTCAGAGGCAGCTTCCAGAAATGGATTGTCAGGGCAGCAACTGCCCCCCCTGCAGCGGCTGTCTTTTTAGTTGCCAACTCCCATGGGCTCAAGTGATGCCAGGAGCCGGAACGGCAGTGGAGCCACATGAAGCAGAAGCCAAGCCCATGGAAAGCGAGTCAGGAAGACGCCGCGACTGGACGCGATCGCACAAAATCCCCGGCCGGCCGCGCCCATAGGTAGTCCCGCCGCTCAGGAAAGCTAGGATGTTGATGGCCCCACTGCCGCAAACAATTTGTATGCCAAAAGTATTAAGGGTCTCCTGGACACGGCCATGGCCCCTCATCTTCGGCTTGACTTGCAGACAATCTTGCAGGCCTTCCAGCCCAGACGCCCGAGATTGCCCAGTTCTCAGGCAATGTTACCTTCACCTTTGTGCCCAAGCCCCCATTCTCGGCTCACAGGCTAGCGACCTCGGTCCACCATGCCCAGGCCCGCCAGTGCTCCCGACCAATGGGACTCAACACCCCTTTCGCAAGCCAAACCTCGCGTGCATACGGAGTGTGATTTTGCCTGCCGCACTTCTCGCCAGTACTGGCGACCTCACTGCTGCTGATGCCACCCAGGCCCAGGCGCCTGCCATGCACCGGGCTGGCCCGCAAGGTCGACGTATTTTCTCGTCAAAGGCAGCTGCGAAACTGATTATCGGAAGTTTTGCCCTTGGTGAACCACTTCGATATAGGCCTTCGCCTGTCCACCCCCAATGACATGACTTACCAGCGCATTCAGCCTCCGCGCGTTATTCCGAACAACCCGCAACCAAGGCACAAGGTGTCCGTCCATCAAGCCTGGAGAGCCATCTTCAAGTCTCAACAACCGCGCTAGGAACGCGCCAGCCTTCATGTGGGCTATCTGGACACGAGCGGCCGAAAAGGCACTCAGCCAAGCCGCTGGCCTCGTTGCTTATCGCCCCAAAAGCAGCCAACCCTGCCTCGAACCCAGGACCATTTGTGCCAGCCAGTCGTCATGCAAGCAGCATAGGCGACACCTGCCAGCAAAAGTCAACTGTACAGAGCTCAAAAAACTTCATTTTCACACAACAAGCACAGATAGTGGAGTTAGAACAACAGTTGCAGGAGTTAACAGACGTGAGTGAAGAGAATCGTCGACAAAAAGATCTTTGCGGCAAAAAAGAGCGTGAAACAAGCACGTTGCGCGAAGAATATTATTCTGCTACCGAATGCTTAGCTTTCGTTGAACACCAAAATACCTTAAATGTCTTTGTTTGAATTCAGTGTTGGTTATGTCTGGCGAGGATAGATCAGATGATGCATCGTCGTCATTAACATTTGGGGAGAATTTGAGCAATGCATTTAATACACAAATTTTACATGCCCCCATGGCGCGTTGTGTTTAGCTCTTGAAAGCATTTTAAAAAAAAACACCTGCTACGTTTTGATAACTCGTGCCGAGTTTAAGAAGACCCAGCTAGTTAGTTAGCAAAACCCGGGCATTCCAAGTAGACGTATGGTAGACAGCGTGACCACGACGCTGGAGCCCACATTTTATCTTAACACACGTGTATAAAACAACTCCCTCTGCCCAGGCGATGAAGGCGATGAAGGCGATGAAGGCGATGAAGTGAGCAGTTTTGGCCCGTGCGGTTCAAAGCGTTTCGCCAGGTCCCTAGGGCCTGACTCCCAAAGCACCCGGAGGGCCTCTGCCTGTACAGAAAAAAACACGGACGTTACACTGTGTTACATGTGCACCTTGTTTCC